TGAATATGGCTATGGGTTATGATTATCGACAGATACGAATGCTTGAGTTTACGGCGGAATTTCTTCTGTTACTTAGGTGCAGAGTTGAGAGTAGTGGTTTGAGGTCGACGGTTTGACACTTTGCGACTTTAGATGGTTTTTGTAGTTTGCGTCATTGCAGCTGCGAAATGTCGAGTAATAAGTAGATGTAGAATTGTTTGTGGTTTGAATTAATATGCGACTAATATAGGTAGCGATCGTTGCGCTTTTGTAGAATAAATACTAGAAAAAAAAACCATCTTTGTTGGGAACGATTAAATGGGACAGGAATTTAATTATTTAAAAAAAAAACTTACGTGGAATGGAGCTGATGAGATGTCGAACAGGGAGATATTACAGCGATATTTTACCAGATTCACACTCACTGACACATCCGGTGAATCTACCGGCCAGAAGAGCCAACACGCACGAGCACTGTACCGCGAGTGTTGACGCGCCCATAGCGGCGTGACTGACTGACGGGGTCGACGCGGCGCCGGCCGGCGGTCGTGGTAATCGTCGTTCCCGACGCGGGCGTTGAGCCGCCAGAGGGCGCGAAAAGCAGCCACAACAGGGGCAGTGGGTTAGCCGTAATTGGGGCGCGGGCGGTAGGTGAAGGTCACGTATAGGAGCCTGGTTAGTTGCGGAAAGTTGCAACGGGATAAGAACGTAGACAGTTAAATATGACATGCTATATGATATCTAGGATTGCACTTCGTTTGATGCGCATTGTTTACTGCTAATAGGATGATTTAAATTAGATTCCCTATGAAAGGCTAGGGACCCTATGACAATATTCTGGCACTCTATAAAGATAATTTGTTTAGGTAACTAGTAGCCCATCAGAAGCTATCGAACGAGTTTCAAGGAGTCATTTCCGTTTGAGCATTCAGCAATTCACTATGATACGGTGGATCACAACCAGACGACAGATCGGTGCGTACTAATTGGTTCTAGATCATCTGATTAAATCAAGAACGGTTCAAGGTTTGATAGGATTGCATACGAGAACTGATGATTAGGTTCACGCGTGCAGCAGCAATTAGGGCTTGAGATTACGATTTGGTTGGATAAATAATGCGTTTTTGTTCTTCGCGTTCTTGCGAGTTAGCGCCAATAATTACTCCACCAATATTGGCACAGGGCATTTTGAGGCACAGACGGCTTGTTTGCCCGTCTCCTATGGCGTAACGTTTACCAGCATGACCGTATGAGACACAGATGCACTTCTCTAAACCCACGTCCAGACCGGAATAATAAGAGGGACATGCCGTCACGTACGCAGGGCATATGCACGTTTTCCGCCAGTGGTACCGGCCACTGTTAATTTTCCCGCTTAGGTAACACTGGGTGAGAAGGCAGTGAGAGGTTTCTACGGCAGGGGAGAGGGGGAAGATTGGCACAGTATGCAGTGGAGAGTAAGTTATGCCAAAGGCAAGAAGCCGAAGGTCAGGGGTGAGTCACCCAAAGGGCGGATAAAGCGAGCCGTAGTGTCCCGAATAAGTCCTCATACTTATTTCGTAAAGGTACTCTAATCGGTACTGGACAGCCTCAGGGGAGGGAAGAATGTACTCCAGGACACGTAAGGCCTTGAATAGTAAATCCCATGGTTTAAGGATAGTTCCAGGATATGAACTGTGGTCCCTGGGTCGTGAACGGGAATGTTACACGCGGACCGGAAGAGGGCATAGGTAATCTCTCCCGGTAGAGAGATAAGTCGGATATAAATCGTGTATATGTGTACCATAAGTCTATCGGACGTATAGTGAATTCCATAAATTAGTAGGGTGGATATTTGTGCAATTATTCTGGACGGCCCTGCGATAAGTATCTTTGTCGCCGGTTAGCGGAGCATGCATATGGATTTCGGAAAGAGACATTTATCTCGCCGGGGAGATCGTTGTTGATCCGACGCCTAACACTATCGGAGGGAATTTCGAGGGCTACGAATTAAATTTGGGTGAATGCATGAAAGGTGAATGTAACGCGAACAAGGGTGTGAGAATGGTGAAGGATGAATCTTAGAATAAGGCCGATAGGAATTGCGTAGAATTCGGTTACGGCAGTCGAGCTAGCAACCCTCGAGGGCAACTAAACTGTCGCAACGCTAATACGAATTAAGTGGGCAATTTTCGTAATGGGGAGGCCAGTGATATAGGGATGGGTGACTGGACGAATGATCACATTCAATTTATCAATGTAATTACCACCCTTAAGTTTGGCAGTGGTCATCGGGACTTCGAATGCCCTGTCCTTCACCTGCCCAACTGTGCCGCAAACCCAGCTGATCGGATCCCTCTATCCCTAATCCGAGCAGTGAAGAAGCATCTCGTACATCATGGTCTATACAATGAACAGAATCATCAAGCCTCTAAATTAAAAAGCATCTTCCATCAGATGTATTTGTATGCAAGGTGGATCTGGACTTACATCTCTCCCAGGTGGACGACATCTCAAGATCTCTATCACGATCCCTATCTCGAGATCTCATCAGGTGGATCTATATCTACATCTATCTCAGGATCTCATCACTATCTGGATCTCTCTCTAGATCTATCTCGGGATCTCTTCAACGACTCTCAAGTTCCCCTGTATCACAAGCTCTACTAACGAGTTCCTTCCAGCAGCGAATTATTCTCCGTCTTCTTGTACAACCAGCTGAACGACAGAGGACCGCGGTGCAACGACAACCGCAAAGATGCATAAGCAGTTCCTTTCTCTTATTTCCCTTGCTACATTAATATGCCAAAATCAAAGGGAGCACGGTACCCCGGTGCCCTCCCCGTTCCGCCGCCTATGTTGTCAAACCTACAATCTCCGATTGCTAAAGGTTAAAGTAATAATATAAAATACAACAATTAATTTTTAATTACAGAGATAATATTTTGCATTAAACAGACATTTCAAAGCTCCTCAATTCGAAAAAGGTTGGTTTGCTAAGCAGCAAAGTCCTGCAAAGCAGCTAAAGTTGGTGGGGCAAATCGCTTATTGGTGGGGCAAAGTGGCCAGCCCCACCAACACTATAGGAAGCAGGGGTGTCGATTTTTCAAAATGGTTGGGGGTGCTCAACCCCTGCACCGGGTGAAAGATTGTAGCTTTGCCATGGGGCACAACCGTACCTACAAGGCATGGTTGTGTATCCCCATAAGGTACTGATAAGCCCGGGATTTCCACTAATATTTCCCAAAGGTTGAACGTTCTTCAAAATCATTCTGCTCGTCCCAGTACTTGGCTACCTCATTACATAAACATCTTTCCGAAAAAACGCGTACATTTGCCGGCAGCTCGGCAGCAGCCCCGACACCTCTGTAATAAGGTGACAGAAACCGATGGCCGCGATTAGCACCGGTGCAGCAGCCCCTGCGGTCCGCAGGGGCGGACATTGCGCGGGAGGCAACGGTATAGCTACGAGGCTCTGGCGTTTATCAGACGATCACAATAATCGCTGAAAAAAATAACAAGTGATTGCAATTAGATATTTATGGGTTTACGATTTTCCTCAGTGGCGTAGCCAGGTGGGCCCGTGAGCCCCCCCCCCCGCCCCATCAGGTTCAGGGGCCCATCGGATTATTCGGGCCTGAGGGGCACTGCGGCGCCAATTGGCCACTGAGGGTCCACGTTGGCTATATTTGGACTCAGAAGGGCCCCACAGGGCTCGTAAGAACACCTCATGGGCCCAAAAGTACTAACATTAAGATCTCCATAAGGGCCCCAAGCCAGCCTCTGAGGGCCACTTGCCGGCCTCTGGGGGTCTTAACCGGCCTCTAGGGGGCCAGCTCTAGGAGCTGCACACCCGCCTGTAATGGCCCCACACCCATTTCTCTGAGGGCCCCTATAACGGCGACTGTGAGGGCCCTCACCGGCGCCCCTGAGCGCCACACCGGCGTCTCTGAGGGCCCCACACCCCTAACTCTGAGGCCCTATACCAATGCCTTTAAAAACCCTACATGGGCGGTTCTGAGGGCCCTTGACAGTTACCAGCGACCCTGCGGCCCCACACAGGTGACACGGAGGGTCCCAGCGGCGTCTGAGCGCACCATGCCAGTCTCTGAGAACCCCACAAGGCTCCTGAAGGCACCGGTGACCTCTTGATATCTTCTTGTCGGCCTATGAAGGATCCGTTCCGTAACAGCAGTTCTGAGGGCCCAACGCGCGCCTGTGATGGCCCTAAACCAGTGTCTCTGAGAGCCCCCACACCGGCGCCTACAGTCCGAGGGCCCCACATTGCCATATCTGAGGGCCCCACACTAGTGCCTCTTAAGGCCCTATATCGGCGGCTCTGAGGGCCCAACATCGTAGCTTCTGAAGGCCCCACAAGTGCGCATGTGACGGCCACCCTGCCACCGGTGACATTTGAAGGCCCCACACCGGCGACTCTGAGGGCCCCATCAGCGCCTGAGCCCGTTCCGGTCTCTAAAGATGACCCCACAGGATTTCTGAAGGTACATACCACCGGCCTCTGATGACCCTTTGCCGGCCTCTGAGGGCCCGTCGCCGGTCTCTGGAGCCCCCTGCCGGCTTGTAAAGGGTACGCGCCAGCAGCTCTAAGGGTCCGACACCCGTGTACGACGGACCCACACCATCTTTGCAACTTAACGTTTTTTTTCGACCTTCTTCTTAAATCTAAATTTTCTTTTCTTTACATCTTTATTTCATGCCTTGTAAATTGCGTAATTGTTTTATTTTTAGTAGTGAACTACTGCAGAACAATTATTTTCCTCAAGCAGAGTTATTGAGGGACAAAACCATTGGGGGTGCCCGGAAAATCATTGGGGGTGCTCATTTGAGCATTGGAGGTGCTGCAGCACCCCCACAGGTATACAAATCGACACCCATGCTAGGAAGCTCCGCCCCTGCTGCTTATGTAACCGGTGTAACCATTAGCATGATTGCGGCGCTATTCTCTGCATACCAGCGCCACACCCGTCTTCATTATGCAGTGTCGGCCAGTCACATCTGGCCCGTACATACGTGTGCTACAGGTCCTCCGAGTGCTCCGGCCAACTGTTCGCTGCTCAACCAGACGTCCGAGTCACTGCTGGTCGCCTGCTCCGGAGGAGGTCCCGGTCACAGCGACGGCACCGCGGCCGGCGCTCGGGAGAGGTCATTCGTGGCCGAGCTGTATGCCGTTCCCGACGGCCGCCTTCTGCAGAATGTGAGCTCGCCAGTACCGAGCTTTGAGCTGCGGCGGCTGCCGGCTGGCCTGGAGCTCCGGCTGGAGCTGTATGCGGTCAACAGGCACGGAAGGAGTGCGGCGGTGCTACTGGATGGATTCAGCCTCAAAGCTGCAGAGAAACGGATGAGAGCCGAGACTGGTGAGTCGGGAAGAGAGAGAGAGAGAGAGAGAGAGAGAGAGAGAGAGAGAGAGAGAGAGAGAGAGGGAGGGAGAGAGAGAGAGAGAGGGAGAGGGAAAGAAAGAGAGATAGACTGATAGAGGGATAAATGCTCTGAATTAAGATATATTTAGTTAATCGAACGGAGAAGTTGGAGGGAATGATAGTTTTGGCCGTTGATACGATTTCGATTCTATTACATACATTTGTATCCTCCATTGAGGGACAATCCTCATGATTCAAAGCAAAATTCTAACTTCTACACTGTCTGAAGGAAAATGGATTAATTGCACTACTGTTTTGAACAAAGCAATCATGCTCCGTACGTCATTGACATTAAAAACAACGGTAAGTAAATTTTATATACTATATATAGGTAACAGGCTTATAACTTACGTATCTATAGCTGACCTCTTTGACCTTTGACATGTATCTAAGTAGCTAGCCCCAGAAATGGGGACAATGAGGCTCATTCACGACAGACTATAGTAGACGAGTTCCACTGTCCGAACTCGAGCAAAGCTCAACACTGCGAGACGATCACAAATGGTTCGGAAAGCTCGGGCCATAAAACTGAAACTCGACATTAGGCAGGTGCAGTGGTATCATTTGTTCGCTGGAGTTTGAAATGGTAGCAATGATTTCTTGCATTTCACGATGCATAAAACGGCTCTAGAAGACTCTTCAAACATACATGCCATGGCTGAGGAGCAATGGTCTTACTCAACTTCAGTCATTTGCTGTCTAGTCATGATGCTACCTCCTCTCAAGCTCCGAGTTCATGCATCGAGGAATGTAGTAGTTAGCGGATCAGACTCTTACCAATCTCTCTTTCTCCCTCACTCCCCTTTCTCTTCTCTCTCTCTCTCTCTCTCTCTCTCTCTCTCTCTCTCTCTCTCTCTCTCTCTCTCTCTCTCTCTCTCTCTCTCTCTCTCTCTCTCTCTCTCTCTCTCTCTCTCTCTCTCCCTCTCCCTCCCTCCCTATCTCTCTCATTCTCCTCCTCCTCCTCTCTCTCTCTCTCTCTTTCTATCTCTCTCTCTCTCTCTCTCTCGCTATGTTCCTACTCCACCACTCCTTTGCCGCCCCGCTCTCTCTCCCCCAGCCTCAGTTCTACCTTTACTCTGGCGTGACGTAGTTCCGCACTCAAAACTTTTTTACTACCTCCTGGAGAGTTCATTTTCATCAAACCCGCAAGATAATAGTATATTGAAAGGGTAACTCGCTGCTACCATTATGTGCATAGTAACGGTACGTGGTTAATATGAACTTATTCGCCAGCGAAGAGCATTATTACCATGTAAATATCAATATTACTCTCGCGATCCAGAACATCACGAAAACTCTTTCCTCCTGGGTATCGTGACTCGGGTACAGATAGTCGTTTCATGCGTGGATCTTGTTTACCCTCGAGAAGATGATATTTGAAATGGAAACAATCAGCCAATCAGAAACGAGATCGGCCGTTTGCGGTTTGAAGGCCGCGCGCATCTGTCAGTTTTCGGCCGTTGGTCTCCGAGAGCGGATGTGAGCAGTGTCGGTGCCGCGCGGCGTGGCCGTTGGTGATTGTGCTTGTGTGTTGTTCATCGCCTATAGAGCCTCTGTGGACATTTTATTGTAAGTACCGATGTGCTAAGAGCATTGCGTGCCGTTGAGTGGTGCTAATTTGACCTGGTTAACAGGACCCCGTGCACGGCCACGTGGCCTAGTGTTGTGAGTACGTACATTAATTTTGTTGTGATGCTACAAGTTTATGCATTTTGTTGGTGACTTTGAAAAAGCCTTGCACTGTAGTGATCCAGTCTCATTATCTCACGCAGACGGGCGACCACCCAGGAACGCCGTCGCTCACTTCAAATATTGTGCGCTCTGCCTAATCCAATATGAGGGCGCTGAATGTCTTGTATTCATATTCAAATTGCATTCAAGTTGTATCGTGGTGTTTATTTACCGCTTGTGCATTGCTGAACGCTTTGTATAAATTTGTATGAATAAGTGAAGAGTCTCACAATGTTCATGGTTGGTGTGCCCCTCGTATTGTTTGTACGGAAGCCAAATATACCTACATTGTTGCTCTTGAAACATTTTTTTTTTTTAGTTGGTGAGCTCCGGTTAACAGAAGCTTCGTGAAGCTTCTGAAGGAAGCGTCTGTGGGTCTGTTACCATCCTCTGGGGGGTTTACACTAAAGGAAAGAGTAAACATTACCATGTGACAAAGGGTAGGCCATAAGAATATACTCTCTGTAGGAGGGTAAAGCACAGAGTAGATGATGCGTTACTCCCTAAAAAAGGGTTCCGTTAAAGATTTACCCTTTCAAAGAGTGTAACCCAAAAAATCTTACACTCTAGACAAGAGTAAATCAAAAGAGTTTACCATTCAGAAGATGGTAAAAAACGTCTGTGTGTCATGTTACCCCTCCCTGGCGAGTTTACTCTTCATGAAAGAGTAAAATTTACCATCTGGAAGGTGGTAAAAAACGTCTGTGTGTCAAGCTACCATGCTATGGCGGGTTTACCCTTCAGGAAATGGTAAAAAAGTTTTCAGTGCAGCCCATTTACTGTAACCAAAGGCTGAACGTGGCCACGAGCACGCAGGTACACAGTTACACACATTATAGTACACACGTAAATATATAGCCTGTATCGGACCCCTGATACGCACACCTACAGGGCCGTGTGATTGTGGAGATCAGAGGTAATCGGAGCTAATTGGAGTATCGCGTGGTAGTGCGCGGGAATTGTTGACGCAACCGCACGCAGCCCGATGGCACATATTGATTACGCAGACGGCAGAACACCCTTTCATCTTAACACTGATATTTACTGATACCACAGCTGAAAGTTGATACTCTCACAGGATTACAAATCAGCGATGACTCAGGCTGTTATGCCACTGATCCCAGGGAGCTGCTCCAAATATCGCCGTTCAGTGCGCTAAGTCTCCGTTTTTTCCTCGTTTTGTCGCAGGGGACCAGGCCGAGTCGGTTGTGCCCCTGACGCCGGCCCTGGCCTGTCTGGCCGGTGCCGCCGTCTCGCTGGTTCTCGTCACCGTGGGGGCCGTCATCTGCACACGAAACAGCCGGTGAGACAACGGCATAGAATACACCAGTAAAACGCCTTTTGGGCGAAGAACGAGCGAGCGAGATAGTGAGCCCTGCAGGCTGCACGTGCGGAAGGGCGAGAGGGTACTTCCAACGGGCTTACGCAAAGCACCCTTCTAACCGGTCGCTAGCGGTGTACCAAATTTGAACGCAATCGGCCCAGCCGTTCCTGAGATCTGGAAGCGGCATTCTGCACGTGCGCACGTGCAAACGGGGTCCAAACTGACTTTTGCACGGCACCCTACTAACTGGTCCCCAACCGTGTACCAAATTTGAGCGCAATCGGCCCAGCCGTTCTCGAGATCTGGAAGTGCCCCCTGCACGTGCGCACGTGCAGTAGCACCTTAACCGCAACACATGGGAATGCATTGCCTGTTGGGTGCCTACCTGTATGTCAAGTTTCAGCGCAATCGTCCCAGTAATTACCGAGTTATTAAAATGGGAACAAATTTGACACCTCTTATTGTTGTATTTTGCACGTGCACTGGGGGTGACCCACATGCATCGAGAGCATCCTATTTTTGGTAGAAGGGATGCTGCTACCCTACAAAAATTACCGCAAGTTAATCGCCCAAGCGGCTGCTGAGATATGAGCCTCTCAAAATCACTACTTTTGCAAAACAGCTTGGACACCCTTGACTTTTCACGTGGCACGTGCCACGACGGTCACTGAGATGTATCAAAAGTAGTCAATTACGGGGTAGAAGGGATGGGGCTACCCAGCAAAAAAGACCGCAGGCCAATCGGTCCAGCGGTTGCTGAGATATAAGCCTCTCAAAAGCGTTACAGGCCGGGCTGGGCCGGGCCGGGCCGCTCATACTGAGATTTTTCCGTTTTTGAGATTTCATACTGAGGTTTTTCCGTTATATTGAAAAGACTTCGCTTCGCTCGCTGCGCTCGCTCGCTCGTAATAATCCTACTCATCATTTTCGTGTAATGAATGCTCCTGTGCGTTGCGGGCTGTCTTTTTTTCATTCCGCTGATATTTGTGTGCCTGAATCCAGCCTCGTCAGGTGGCAGCTGACCAAACCAGTCGAGTCGTTAAATGTCCGGACGCAGAGCTGAATCACCCAGTCTGACAAAGTTTCACGGGTGCTGACCATTCCCCGTTGGCTTTTCAACAACCGATCTGAGAGCGTGCTCTGGTCTTTCAGCCGCAGGTCGCACCACACGGTGGCCGACAGAAGTTCGGACCAGCACATCCTGCAGAAGGCGCTCAGCAGCGGCTTCGAGCGCGGTATGGACGATGCCGAGGCCGAGCCGGCGCGGGTACTGACTGTCTGTCAACTGGAGGACAGCAGTCCCGACGTGGTGCCCTGTCGACCGGGTGGGTAGCCGGCTGGGCACTTCTTTTTTCTCTCGCTCCCACTTCCTCTCTGTTCCTCTTCCTCCCTCTCCCTCCTCTCTCTCTCTCTCTCTCTCTCTCTCTCTCTCTCTCTCTCTCTCTCTCTCTCTCTCTCTCTCTCTCTCTCTCTCTCTCTCTCTCTCTCTCTCTCTCTCTCTCTCTCTCATTTTTCTTTCTCATCGTTCCTTCCTTCATAGCCTCTGGATTTTCTCCCTTCCTTCCATCAGGTTAGCCAGAGTTCGATGCCGTGCTTGGGATCTCTCATCAATTTTCTTGGTATGCAGTGCTCTTTCTGCATTGAAGCTGGCTTTCTGGAAATTTTGGCATCTAATGTCTCCGTGTCAAGAGCATTTACCGGAAATTGAGACTGGCCGGATACCTTGGAGTAAACCAATAATCGAATGTTCTAAAAACTGTTTCTGAGTGTACTCATTCGTCGTAAAATGAAGCATTTCATCGATCGAAATTCGATTTTGTTCACAGAACACCATCACGGGCCATGCGAATCGGCCCATCTGTTGAACCACATCAGTACAGAGGCCCCGAACAGCTTCATACCGGAGCAGGGCGTCGCAGCCAGCAGCAGAAAACTGAGGCACACGGTCAGTTTTCGATACTCGTTTTCCATCAGACCGCCGATCTGTCCTCTACACGACTAGAACATCGGAATAGACAGGACTGAAAGATAGTAAAATTTAAAGCTTATGTACGTACATACATATAGCATTCAACCCACAATAAGGATTGGATGCCTACATTTCTAATAATGACATAGGGATAGCCGACATGGCTAACTGTTGAACAATCTTCCATTCTTTAGATTATCGCATACCTACGTCCTGCGCTGGTAAAAATACACGTAGGCACTTCGAGTTCCCCTGCGTAAGTCAGCCCCCTGTCTTGCTCTAAGCATGGCATAACGACCGACCTCATTACCGATTCCCGTCGTCAGGGCACCAGGCGGGCAGCCCCGACACCCCTGATTGTCGGTTCGGGTGCCGGCTCGCCCGCGTGTCCAGTGACTGTATACTTACCCGCAGGGTGGTGGAGGTGGGGGCTCACGCGAGCGGTCGGCGGTGCGGGTCGAACGCAGGACACCGGCTGCGCACGACGCCGGAGAACACAGTCACCTGGCGGCTGCCCTGCTCAGCAGCCAGCATGAGAGCATTGTGTGATACGGCAGTGACGAGATTGAGTGGATGGGGAACGGGATTAGTGTCAGATCTCAGTGAATATGCGAAACTCAAACTCATATGAGTGAACAATTGGACATGTGTTTGGAAGGGGACCGTGAATGGCGCTAAAACTCCGTGGACATGAAACTCTGCGGTCTCTCGGGAGCTGAGGATCGGGAGGGGTGCCAGAAGTTTGTAAAAAAATGTTTAACTCAGTGTTGATTATTTCTGAACAATGTAACGGCATGGAGTCGTGTGATACTGACAAAAGACAATGCTGAACAATCGACGTGATACTCGTCCTAGTCACCAGTAGCGGCGGAACACCTTCAATTGGGGGGGGGGGGGCACTGCCGACTTTTGGTCCCATTCTTTCCAAGCAACGCCCATAGGGATAATGTTAAAATGGCAAAATCAAGGGGGGCGGGGGGGGGGGGGGACACGGTGCCCCGGTGCCCCCCCCCTCCGTTCCGCCGCCAATGCTAGTCACCAGCAGTGATTTGGTCACCATTGACTGCCAGTGACCCGAAAGGTTTGATGCATAGCTTCTGGAATAAAATACAAATTAGGAGCAAACTGTAATTGGGATTGGAATGATATCTAACATGAAATTACAAACTCTCAATAGATGACTTAAGACTAGAGCGTTTTTCTTTATAAATAAATGTTTTGTGTGCTCTGTAATAGGCATAATTTAGTGTGGTGATCACGCGAAGATATTTGTCACAAATGCCATACAGTTGGTAAGCTTGTATTTTTGTGCCTACTGCCTAGTTCATTGTGACGTGGATGAACTTCATCGTTGCTGTTACGTGGCGCTCACCCGTTTGTATTTGTAATAAAAGGATGAATTACTTCATCGTTTGATGCTTACGTCTCACGTAAAAGCAAGCGTGCGTATCATTGCATGTTAACTACCATGTTAAGAGGAGAAAACAGCACCTAGCAGTGCCGCCAATTGTTCGGATGAGGAGCTATTCGTCCAAAGCCTACCCTCTCAACGATCCCAATTTTCCTCTTCCGGGCTGGAGGTCACACAACAGATACCACCGCGTTGACGGCAGCCCCCATGGGAACATTTCACTTCGAGGTGACTGTTTAACTATAAGCTGTGTTACCCATGGTCACCGGCAAACTTCTGTCCAAACGGGATAGGCTCAGCCTCTGCAGCGCACCACCCGCGCGGTGGCCGGGCCAGCCCAATTAGCACATGAACTGAAGTAAATCCTTAATACGAACATATTTTGTATTGTGCAATGTATTGTGATGTGTTCATATCTTGCGATACGGATTGACCCCAGCGCCATGCGCCAAGCGCAAACCAAGGAACGCCCTATTAGACCGATAGTACTCATATAATTGATAAGAATCATGATGTATTTTCACATACTGTCTTACAAGATTCGAGCCATTAATAACGAGTAAACGAGGAACTAACTGCGTTACAGTTCCCTTCGAGAGACATATCTCCGCGGCTGCATTAATCACTTGGGCGATAATTCTTGATGAAATGATTCCAAACGGAACTATAGCAGCCGGGACATAAAAGGAATGGACATAACTCGGTCATATCTTATAGGGATGATTATTCTCAGTGGGCGACACGATTCAAAGCTGTATGTAGCAATGACTCTTGACCTGGCTAGAAGAAGTCTGGAGACAGGAGCAGAAATCATGCTGTCATGGCACAACTTGGCTAACACTTGTATCCTTTAAAGGCATAGCCCTGGTTAGTCTTAGTCATATTTATACGGCTATTACTCTTCATTTCACATAAGGACGTCAATGCATGCCTCAGTCCCACGCAAAAATTCACCACGCCCGAAACATTGTCTTTAACCTGCGCATGACTAGAGCCCCCCCCCCCCTTCCGTTTTTCGGCAATATCTTCTAAACCGTTTCACAGATCAACACGAAACTTGTAGTAGGGTAAGTGGCTCCTATGACGCACACTTCCTAAAAGCGCACACCAAGAACTTTTTTTAATGTAGTTCCTTCAGCAGAAGCCAGGAACGAAAAAATCAGCTGTCAATCACTTCCAGCGACATTTGTGCTGCGTGTGGACGGCGGTGGGGTGTTGTCGGCTCAAAAGGTGAGTAGTTATGGCGGATATTGTGATTGAGGTGCAATGTTTCTTCAGCAAAAAAGTGCCTGAAGCAATAATGCATGTTTTAAGACGCATGCACTTCTCGCGTAAACCTGAATAGGCCGGAAAGATCGATGGGCACTGACCGGATGGCAATGAAACGGGGCTCAGTTTAGGCATGCATGCACTGGCGGATCCAGGGGGGGGCCACGGGGGCCATGGCCCCCCCAAAGGCCTAAAGTGGCCTGTTTGCCCCCCCCCCCAAAACGTAAGAAAAATTGCTATATAAGAAAATATACCTTGATGGAGGTTTTTAGCCACTTGGTGAAGTGAAGCTTTCCACAGCATAATATGGAAGCAATATGGTAGCAGTGAGGGTCAGTCAAAAGTTGCGCGAGTGGAGTCGACCTTCAAAAAAGACTTGTTGGCACGTGTTTATGGCGCGGTAGCTGGGAGTTGGCGGTGTTTCGCGTGGTGTGGCATCACTGGCGGATCCGGGGGGGGGGGGGGGCACGGGAGCCTGAGGTGCCCCTGACAGACCCGTGGTGCCCTTGGTAGGTCTGTGGTGCCCCTGGACCCTGGCAGGCCTGTGGTGCCTCTGGCGGGCCTAGGGTGCCCCTGCTAGGCTGCTGATGCCCCTGGGACCTGACAGGACTGTGGTGCCCCTGACAAGCCTAAAGTGCCCCCAACAGGCCCGTGATGCCCCCGACAGGCCCAAGGTGCCCCTGCGTGATGCCGTGATGCCTGCGAGGCCGGTGGTGCCCCTGCGAGGTCGGTGGGGCCCCTGACAGGCCCATGGTGCCCCTGCGAGGCCGGTGGTGTCCCTGCTAGACCGGTGGTGCCCCTGGCAGGCCTGTGGTGCCCCTGCTAGGCCGCTGGTGCCCCTGGGCCCTGACAGGACTGTGGTGCCCCTGACAGGCCCAAGGTGCCCCTGTAAGGCCTGTGGTACACCTGCTAGGCCTCTGGTGCCCCTGACAGGTCCATGGTGCCCCTGCAAGGCCGGCGGCGCCCCTGGCAGGTCTCTGGTGTCCCTGACAGACCTGGGGTGCCCCTGACAAGCCTAGCCTGTGGGGCCCCTCACAGGCCCGTGGTGCCCTTGTTAGGCCTGTGGTGCCCCTGGCGGGCTGGTAGTGCCCCTGCTAGGCCGATGGTGCCCCTGACAGGCCTGTGGTGCCCCCGGGCATCAAGGGGGGTCATGACCCATGTGGCCCCCCTTGGATCTGCCACTGGTACATATTATATTGATTTGTAATGGCGTTATGGCTTATGCAATATGCAATTGCAGGCACTTGGTATCCCTCACTTATCCCTCATTGGGGGCTCTGGCGGGCTCCTGAGGGCCCACGTCTATCTCCGGGAGCCCTAGACAGGCTCCTTTGGGTCCTTTCAGTCCACTATAGCATAAGAGGTCTCCATGCGAGTCCTATACATCTGAGGACGTACCCTGACGTCTGAGGTACTCAACTGCAGCTCCAATGGTCTCTTACACTGGCGGATCCAGGGAGGGGGCATTTAGGGCCATGCCCCCTTCCCAGAGGCCTAAAGTGGCCCGTTTGCCCCCTCCCCCAAGCGATAATGAAGCACAGTTCAATCAGTGCCTGGCCCAGGAGCCGAGTTAGACCACCTCCCGTTTTACCACCTCCCGGCCCGCAAAGGGACCCAAGCACTGACTCGAAGCGGGTTAACTGGTCGACAAAAGCAATAGTAAGTGTTTACAAAGTAATATAAAGGCATGGGTCGGGTGGGCTACCATTTATATATTTTTATTTTTAGTTAAAAAAAAATATTCATAGTGTCAGGGCTGTGACGAAAAATAAGTGGCCTAAATCCGATGAGAAAACAGGATTTGGGGGGTACCCTAGGTTTGGCTCCTGCATGAGTTGGCCCCCCCAAAAACGCAAGTCTGGATCCGCCAGTGCATGCATGCTTTACCCAGAATGCGTCAGTGCTGACGGGAGGGGGCTGAATGTCAGGTGTGCGTGTTTAGGGCAACTGGTTCTGCAATGACGCACACTTTCAGTGCCGCAAATGCGCACAGTACATCTGATGATTATCTAGCCTTCTTTCTTACAAGGAGCAGCTTATATCACGATGAATTGACATGTTAGGCATTGGCACAGTGTAGAATGCGGCATTGAGCTCCACTCCCGGCGGTGGAGCTGGCAAAACGGCGGTGGAGCTGGACGCCGGGCCCGCGCGCTCGGCTGGTGACGCCGGACCCGGGCGCTCGGCTGGTGACGCCGGGCCCGGGAGCTCGGCAGGTGACGCCGGGCCCGGGCGCTCGGCTGGTGACGCCGGGCCCGGGAGCTCGGCAGGTGACGCCGGGCCCGGGCGCTCGGCATGTGAAGCCGGGCCCGGGCGCTCGACTGGTGACGCCGGGCCCGGGAGCTCGGCAGGTGACGCCGGGCCCGGGCGCTCGGCTGGTGACGCCGGACCCGGGCGCTCGGCTGGTGACGCCGGGCCCGGGAGCTCGGCAGGTGACGCCGGGCCCGGGCGCTCGGCATGTGAAGCCGGGCTCGGGCGTTCGACTGGTGACGCCGGGCCCGGGAGCTCGGCTGGTGACGCCGGACCCGGGCACTCGGCTGGTGACGCCGGACCCGGGCGCTCGGCTGGTGACGCCGGGCCCGGGAGCTCGGCAGGTGACGCCGGGCCCGGGCGCTCGACTGGTGACGCCGGACCCGGGCGCTCGGCTGGTGACGCCGGGCCCGGGAGCTCGGCAGGTGACGCCGGGCTCGGGCGCTCGGCAAGTGACGCCAGGCCCGGGCGCTCGGCTGGTGACGCCGGGCCCGGGAGCTCGGCAGGTGACGCCGGGCCCGGGCGCTCGGCAAGTGACGCCAGGCCCGGGCGCTCGGCTGGTGACGCCGGGCCCGGGAGCTCGGCCGATGGAACATCTCGTGCTGACTCCGTATCCATGCGGGACGACGAAGAACTAGATAGAAGTCTGCATGACGTGATGCCAACCCCTCGCGTGCAGAGCAAAGTTAAGCGAAGGGCAGTTAATAGAGATGCTGTGCTGGGAAAGAGGGCATTGTTTGAGTCCGACGGTAACAAGGAAAAAACAAAGAAAACAGCCAAACATGGACACGTGAAAATAAAACAGGTACCTAAAGCCCAATGAAGACCAGTCATCAGGAAGTGAGACGACATGCATATACTGCTGCATGAAGTTCTCACGATCGTGTGAAGAGTGGATACAATGTCAAGTGTGCACTGGCTGGGCATGCGTGCCATGCACTGACGCTGAAACAAAACAGACAAGTTTCACTTGTGACCTCTGCCGACAGTAGATACTGAGTCAATGAAAAGGTTTCGAGTTCATGATGTGTTCATGATGCGTACATGTTCATGGTGTGTTTCATGATGTGTCGAGTTCAAAGTTCATGATGTGCTCATGGTGTTCAACTTTAAAATAAAGTGATTTGATCAATACCTCGACATGTTTATTAAACCTAAAACCTGTTGGAATTGTTCTTGTGCGCATTTGAGGCAGCTGAATGTGCGTCATAAGAGCACCGGTGCTCTATTAGCGCACGTCGGACGTTGGTGGATGTTTTGCCTTATATGTCATAAATGATGAAGGAACGCTGGAACGTAAAAGTCAAATCAAGAAAGCAAATGCTTATGAAAACTGCTTGTGACCATTTTGTCAGCAAAACAGGTTTCAGTAAGTCTCAAACAGGGGCGTCGACGCGTAAGGAAAACTGGTCCGACCTTTTCTTCGGGGGCCCCCACCGGTGGGGGCCCCCAGGGGCCCCCGTGGCCGCAGCAGGGGCCCCTGGCAGGGGCCGCAGCAGGGCCCCCCGAGAGCCCCAACAGGGGCCCCCCGCGGCCGCAGAAGGGGACCCCGCGGGCCGCAGCAGGGCCCCGCGGTGTCTAGCAGGGCCCCAGAGGCGCAGCAGGGCCCCGCGGTCTCTAGCAGGGCCCCCGAGCCGCAGTAGGGCCCCCGCGGTCTGCAGCAGGGGCCCCCGCGAGTCACAGCAGGGCACCGCCTAGTCGAAAAAGTGGTCCGACTAGTCGGAAAAGTCGGACTGGTGTCGACGCCCCTGGTCTCAAAAGCAGTTTTCCTACTAGGTGTGCGTGATAGGAGCCACTTACCCCTCAGCGACATCAATTTGACATCTTGTATTAAAGTTTTAACGTTCTAGCTACCATATTTTGGCCGAAAATGACGTCAGAGTTACGTCCTGTCGGCCGATTTTGATGCAAACTATTGAACTACGGCAGACGCTCTCAAGAGCTTAGTTTTATTAAAGCTAGATCCAATTTCTTTGCATCAATGGACTACAAATACACGTAGCTATCTAACTACTATCTCGAAAATATGTTTTACAATTATAAAAAATATATTTTCTGATTTCTTCAAAATGTTTTTGCTTTTTCGCAGAAACCGGAATATATGTGATATAAAACACACTGATGAACTACTCTAGCAAGTTTTAGTCTAATATCTTCAAAAATACCCAAGTTATTTCCATTAGGTATTGTCAAAATTTTACAATTATATATTTCTCAAAACCATTTTTCAGTACGTTTTTGACATCCCACAACAGCATAAATGGCACCATCGTGTTCCTGAGCTCAAACTGCATCTGATAGGCACCTTTTTTGTTGAAAAATATCATTTTCAAATTTTGACCTTTTCCGACCTGAAATTGACCTGACCTCGGGTAAATTCAGCTTTAAATGACCTCAAATGACACAGACATTGTTTTCGAAATCTACATGTAAAATGGACCATAAAACATGCGTCACGTGACCGATACCTGATATACAATTTTCGTGACCTAGGATGACCTGGCCTTGACCTGAAAAATTCGAAGTAAAAGTTTGTTACCCTCAGGGTATCTAAGGCATATATCAAGGAGTGCGTAAACCAAAAATGAGCCTGATCGGACTTGTCAGCCGGCGGCCAGAGCCTAAATTGTAAACAAGCAAAAATGCCGATAATTTTTACTTTGACCTGACCTGTGACGTCATCGGTGACCTCGAGGTCAATGAAAATAGGTTTCGCTCGACAGTTTTTCCGGGGCTATCAGATGCCGTTTGAATTTTGACGATCGGCCCAGTAGTTTCGGAGATAGGAGGGATAGGAGAGCCCCCCCCCCCCCCGTCAGTCACTCGCGTTATGGAAAATACCCAAGTCATGCACGGATTCATCAGTGTTCCAGGACCGCAAAACGAAGAGAGGGAGGAAGAGTGCGGAAAGGGGAATGTGATTTGTAGGAGAGGGGATAGGACTTAATAAAACGCACCACGGAATGTATCGATAATCTATTACAACGGTGGTCAAAGTATGAATATATACAGTGACACGATGTAATCAAGAACTACATGTCAACAATTGGTAAGGGCGTATGCGTCCACTTCAGCACTTGTATACCAACGCGGGCGTCATTGTTTATGTCTAAATCACAGATACGTTTTGAATATTCCACATCAGACATCGTGAGTATTGGGACAGCCCGGTACGGGCGGTGCACATGCAATTCGACAGGTTCAATTACGGCACCGAATCTTGGCCGGGAATACAAGCTCAAATGTAGTAACGGGTCCCCACCAAAACGTAGCCAGAGTAGCCTTTTCTTACCAATATTTTCCTATTAATAATGTCACCGTTTTCCAGAATAAAACTGTACATTTTCTTTCGCAATTAATGTACACACACACTTGTCAGGTCTTCGAATGGAGTCGCAGCCCCGGCGCAACTCCCCGTCTGAGATTGTTATTGCTTATATCCGTTTGTGATTTGGATGGGTGTGCCTGCCGGGCGGGGCGGCACCCAGTGATATGGCGTCTGAGGAAGCCGCACGGCCCACCAGCCACATCGTGACGAACCGACGTCCTGCCACGCACCTAACACACGCGCACGCTCACCGTTACCCCACGACAGCCACGCACCTAACACACGGGCGCACGCTCACCGTTACCCCACGACAACCGCTCTCACACAGCCGAATCACTTATACCTTCACAAACGGACACCTTCAAACGGTCCAAAGTCCAGCGCACAGCGGATGTCGGGCATAATAAATAATCCTAAATCAGCTGCCAACATTCAATTATTTAAACCAATAATCAAATAAGACGACTGCTGACATGTTCAAAAATAACTAAATAAGCGCTTCACTTTCCTGTAATATCCAGAACAAAGTTAACCGGCAGATTCACATCCACCTGACCTGAAATTGTTGACTCGTATCACACCAGCATGTAAGCACATTTCACATAGGATCAAAATGTACCTAACATATACGCATGGAACCAACAGCAAGAAGAAAACAACCCTGGACAATCCTGCAAAATCAGTCCACTTGCCAGCTTTCCGAAATGTTTCGCCGATGGCGAACCTAAATTGTCAAAGTCAGTGCATACATGCAACGCGTCCTGAGGCAGCTAACGCTTTTGTTCGGCCTTCAAGGAATGTTTCAACTATTAACTCACAAGTTTAATAGGAGCAAATATTCATGACATGGTATCAATATACGAGCAGACCAAAATTGCAGGACCAGCATGAATGTTTCCGTGTGACATTCCCGAAAACCGTCAAACATAAACGAATCTATAAGAAAATAACGCACAGGCAATAGGCATGCATACTATTTGGTAGTAGTTCATGTCACGCGCACTTTGAGGGGAAGGTGATCAAGTTAAGCATCATCGTTAACAGTATAAGGAACATGCGTCGCAAATTACCCATCCCACTTATAATACTATATAGTTGTGCACGATGCTTGGTGTATCGTATTGTGATAACAGAGACAAAGTAATTAAGGGATTTCTCTCTTTCTCTTTCGAATTAAAAATGTAACAAAATGTGTCAGTATTCTGCCGTTAAGACCGGTATACAATTCGTCATGCTTCAGTTAATATATCTTAACGGTGGCCATCGTAATGTTGAAGTCGCAGTACTAAATTTCGGACACCCTGCTTTCTGGAGAAGCCGAACGTCGCAAGCGGACCTTGGGAAATGTTCTTCGCGTAGTCATGCAAGATCAATCAGTCCGATAAGTGATCATATCTCTCCTAAATCTCATGGAAATCCTTCAATCATATGACATCAAAATCTCCCAGAATAATACTTCCTATCAGTAATCAACATGGCCGATATTGAAACGATCGGCGAAAATTCATTCGATATGAAATATACACTCGACCATGTTCAGAAGAATGAACATGGAGGCAAAAACGAATGTTATATACCTACAAATCGCCTTAACAACAGAGTGAAGTGTGAACGCGTTCGTCGCAGTCTATCGTTGCTCCGTCTAGCGGACAGACTCGGACAACCTCGAGGACTTGGTGCGGAATTGCAGAGAAGGCAGAAGGTGCTGAGAGGCTGGCGTATACTGACACCTGGCGGCGATCGGCGGCACTACAAGTACTCCTCGGGCGAGCCGGGCCGATCGTCACCGTAAATGGGGTGCCGCCGCGGCGAGCTGTCGCCCGGCCGTCCGATCTCGTCCTCCAGCATTCGCTGCACCATCGAGTCCGTCGGACTGTCCTCACTCACCCGCGCCGTGGCCGACTGACACCGCGGCCTGCTCGGCCGTTTGCCGGCCGCCGCCTCGGCCCCCGCGACGGCACCGGACGGCCGAGTCTGGTTTTGCACAATCGCCTTGTCCGCTGCGGCGCCTCTATCGCTCCGCCTGCCGGCGCCACGGTCTTTGGATGGCCGCGAGCCCGGCGCCGGGCTGGCCGCGTACGGCACGCGTCCGCACACATCGGTTAGAGAGTCCTCTAGTCGACCGATCCGCTGGTGCAGCTTCTGCATCTCCAGCTTGAGGTCCACCTTGAAGTCCATCAGACTGGAGAGCAGCTGCTGAAGCTCAGACGGATGCGTGGCGCCGGCTACCAGTTGCACCGGATCGACCACCTCCAGCCGTTTGGCGGGCGCCGCCGGAGGTCGAGCAGGCTCCTCCACCGGCGGAGGTCGCGCCGCCTCGTCCGCACCGGCCTCAGTCCGCTCCGGCGGCGGCGGCGCCACTTTCGGTCCCCACTTGATCTTGGGTTTCTCCTTTTTCTCCTCTGACGGAGTGGTGGCAGCGGCAGCGGCTGCTCCGGCGGCAGCTGCAACACTGGCCGAACCCCCGCCGCCGCCGCCTCCCAGGGCGCCCCACCTCGTCCGCGCGCGTTTGCTGATGGCCTGCTGTTCTCCAACGCTGGGCAGTTTGACGGAGGACAGTATTCCTCCTCCTACAGTCCCACCGGTGGCTCCCGCCGCACTCACGGCACCCAGAGCGGGTGGTGAGGGATCGTCGACGCTCGTAACCGCCGCGGCTCCCGCACCACCACCGCCGCCGGCAGCTGAGGCAGGCGTGTCGGGCTCCGTCCTGTGACCGGCCTCCAGGTCCCTGGAGGAGCACACCGCGGGGAAATTAGCAGAAAGGTCGCCAGGTCCCGCAGCTCAGGAAATGACAAGACGTGTCATCATTGTTTAAATACGATATTCTTTCATCTGGTGCATGAATGATGGGAAAATGAAACACATCTTGCACTTGAGAGTTGAGAAGAATAACGTGTCATCCATTGTTCAGAAGTAAGTGACACTGCCTTTCAATTAAGTTAAGCTGACGATTACACGTTCACTATGAAGACGAATTCCCCGCATACCTCAGTCCCTGTTGGCTGTTGGATCTGTCACTAGACTTTTTGAACCGTGAGAAGATCTTCCGAACCAGATGGTCCTGACTTATATCGGGAGGCGGGTCGTTCTTCCTCCTTTCGGCCAGTTCCTTCTCCCTCTTGACGTCGGAGACCTTCCTGAATATTAACTGAAATCCAAATGCGTCGGTCAAGAGTTGGCATTTAGCATAAAGCACTTAAACTGTTGCGGCTCTGAGTTTCGACTGAGTTACTCAACAATGCGATGTTGAGTTCATTACTTTTGTTCGTTCATTACTTTTGCACGAAACTTTTCGAAAGGTATTCAGGACATCGCCTATCGTCTGGGTAGTATCTAGAGAGCACACAAATGTCATCAAGCACACTGCGTTTTCCAGGACGCTTCCACGAACGATCTCGCGTTATGGAAGGCACAGATGGAAACCGCAAACAGTATACGATTAAAGTGACACGCCACGCCAGATAGCAGGCGCGGGCGAATAAGGCTAGACCAGAATGAAAATGAGAAACTAGTAGGTCAGAAACGGACCACGAATAAAGAACATATCAAGATGGAACTTTTAGAACATAGTTTGAATGCCAAAGGCAAACGAAGCTCAGTAAATTTTAGGTTATATCAGCATAAATTCAAAGAGATGTCAATAATGACTAGGGGTTAAGGGATGAGAAGGAAAGGGTGCTTTAAACATTTAACGCCTTTTCAGCGTTCGAGCCACAAAACCATCCATCGAGGGTGCATATAAACACCTACCCGATGTCGGAGGTTGTAGGTGAGCACCAGGTTGCGTGCGAACGAGTTGGCGAACGCGTGGTAAAAGTCGAGCACCTCGAGCAGCTTGTCCCGTTTGATGGTGTGCAGGTCGCAGTAGGTGAGCGCTCTCACGTTGGCCGCCGCCTGGCCAACGGTCGGATCCTTCCAGAACGTGTCTCCAAACACGTCACCCTGACCTGTGGGACGGCGAGGGGGGGGGGGAGGTCAGCTGGGGATGACAGAAAGGTCAGCTGGGAATGGCAGGGGTCAGGTCAGCTGGGGATGAGTGAGGGTCAGGTGGTCAATTAGGAATGAAGGAGAGGTCAGGTCACTTGGGGCCAGGTCACTTGGGGATGACCGAAGGCCAGGTCAGCTGGGGACGACAGAAGTCAGCTTAGGATGACAGAGGGAGGACCATTTCTAAAAAGTCCGTCTCATGTTGGAGCAGACCTGTCATAAAATGTGTCTTGGGAGTATTTTAAATGCCTATCGGATGAAACAAATTGTTGTATACGGTACAGTGCATGCGCTTTCAAGATGGTTTATTAGAGAAAAAGTTGATAGTTATGAAAGCGATGACGTGGATAAAATGTGTGCTATAAAATTGCTTACAACTGAAGATGACCAAAGTACTTTCTTATCGCTTAAATGAAATTGAAATACACATCATTTGTCATAAGGAAACGTTCCTTCGAGGTTCATTCAACACAAACCATATCCATTGACTTGCGAACATTGACCGACCACTAATAAAACACCCAATATAGTGTGCGTGTGAGGAGAACTGTGCCAAGTCCTTGATGGCCTCCTTGTGTAAAAGTTCCACCCTCTGTGTCAATACCGGCCACTGTTTGATTCCGCTGAGATGGGCTGCGGCACGCCAACAGGGACGGGGAGGGGAAGCAGTGGCGGCGGAATAGGGGGTGCAGGGGGTGCAGCTGCACCCCCATCGAAAAACATGGGGGTGCAAACATATCTTTTTGCACCCCCAAAATCCGTACAAGGGGCCCGTCGCACCATCCAATACATTTCTCCTGAAAACCAGTGATCGGGAAACGAACACTGATGTGGAATCATCCGGGATGTCCCATTATGGTCAGGAACGCCCCATGCTAGTCTTTGGGGCCCCCACACCGGCTAGAAGTGTCCCGAGCCGCGTTTGGTGCTCCACGCGGCATCTGAGGGCCCCACGATGGCCTCAGAGGGCCCTTTTATGACGATCTCTGAGGGCTCCCACTTGAGGGCTTTGTCCCCCGGGGCCCTATAACGGTCACTAAGGGCCCTCATGAAGACCGCTGAGGGTCCCACAGAGACTCCAGGGCCCCAAAGAGACTCCAGGGGCCACGCTGGCCTCTGAGGGCCCCTATGACGGCCTCTGAGGGCCCTTACGATGATCTCTGAGGGCTCTCACGACGAACTCTGTCCCCTGGAGCCCTATAACGACCACTAAGGGCCCTCAGGACAACCGCTGAGGGTCCCACAGGACTCCAGTGGCCCCACTGGCCTCTGAGGGCCTCTACGACGGTCTCTGAGGGCCCTTATGACGGCCCTAGACCCAAATCAAGTCTGAGGGCCCATTTGGCTTCAGACGGCCCATAAAGACCCTCAATATGGCCAAGGACCCTCATGACGACCTCTGATGATCCTCTCGAAGGCATCTAAAGGCCCTCACAACAACTTCTGAGGACCCCAGGACGGTCCCTGAGGGGCTGAGGGCCCTGACGACGACCTCTCTGGGCCCTCACGATGGTCTCTAAGACCCAACGCAAGCTCCAAAGGCCCACACTGCCTGGCGTCTGAGGGCCCCACGACGGCCTCTGAGGGCCTCGACGCAGGCAGGCTCCAGGGGCCATGCTGACCTCTGAGGGCCCTCTTGACGGCTTCTAGGGCCTAACGAAGGTTTCAAGGGCCAACGCTGGCCTCTGAAGAACCCTACGACGGCCTCGGAGGGTCTCAACTCAACGCAGGCAGGTGCCAGGAGACATGCTGGCCTCTGAGGGTCCCGCAGAGTTCAGATTCAGAGGATCCAACGACCTTTGTGGACCTTACGAAATACGAAGGTCTCCGAGAGCTCACGCAGGCTCCTGGAATTACACACTGATTCTCAGGCCCCATGTCGGCTTGTTGAGGCACTTTATCTGCTCTTGGTGCCCCGTCGCCGACCTCTGAGAGTCTCAATGTCGGAACTTATGGGGCCATGGGCCCTACACCGGCTTTTATGGCCCCTACATCGACTCTTGGGACTCATGACCCATGAAATGTGGGTCTAAGCGGCTTCTAAGAATCCCCATGCTGGTTCTAGTAGCCGCCAGCCGAATATTAGGGCTCACACGCGAGCTCCTGGGACCCCGTGCATAGGGTGAATAGGTCAAAAACGCCCCCCTTAAGCGCGAAACCTTCTGACACTCAACCCAACACAGATTACTTAAACCTTTGGGCACCATCATGTAGCTCATTCTTTTTACTACGCTTTGAGACCAAGAAAAGACACCTGCGTGTGGTATTTAACCCCCCAAAAAGGTTTTCGCATACCCTTACAAAAGGGCGTTTTGCCCCATACCCTGGGTAATACGCCCACACCCATGTGCAAAGCGCCCCCACCCCATCCATCAACAGAAAATGATGAACATGGCAGAACTTGACGTCATTCTGACGTCATTTGTGGTCAACCTACCATAGCCTTTGGAATAAAATTTTGTTGCAATGTGTAAAATGGATGCCCAGAGGAGTCCTGAAAGTTTGGTGACGATATCTGCAGTCGTTTAGGATATATCAGCAAAAAAGGACAGGGAGAGGCCTTTTCGGCCCCGACTTACAGGGCGCTACCCTGCACTCTCACCACCGTGCAAAACGCCCCCTTTCAGAAAACTGGGGGCGTCTTGCCCCATGCATCGAGTAGGCGTCTTGCCCCATCCACTCCATTTCCGGTCAACAAAATATTGACAAAAAACGCGCCACTAACGCCGCAGCATAATACATTCAACAGAATGACAATAAAACGCAGTTTTGAGTGATGTGCACAATAGCAAGTTTTGTGATGTAAAGAGGGCATCAAAATATTAGGAATCTTCTGTAAAAACAACAAAAACCACACCCAAAACCAACATCAGCACCTACCCACGCTGCTCCTCAAGACGCAGAACCGGAAATAGAGACCTACGTAAACAAGCAGCTGGCTGTTCTGACAGACAGGATAAAACACCTATCCGTCGATAAGAAATACGATTTTTTAGGGGAGGCGTTTAACCCAGGGGTGCGTTTTCCCCACAGTTACCCTACCCCAGGGGTCTACCTGCCTCTAAGACCCCACACATACTTTTGGGGCTCAAACGCTTGCCCCTGAAGGCCCCACTGAGACCCCTTTCCTCTATTCAGTCCTCCATACCAGCTCTTTAGGCTAAACATCGGCTCCTGTGGCCTCCATCCCGGCTTTGGAGGGCCTCCATATACAGGCTTTTTTGGGGTCGGATGCCGGTTTCTGAGAGCCCTCAAAAGACTTTCGAGCCTATACTGCCTTCTGAAACCTTTCAGCAACTTTCAAGGGACCGACCCTGATCGGAGGGCTCATTCAGTCTGGGGAGTCATGTAGGTCTCTGGAGGAGTCTCTATGTGGTCGGTTTCCAAGGGGCTTCTAAACACGGTCTTCTTGGAACGGTCTCGTAGAGCCCTCAATGGTCCACTGCGGATCCAGAAAAAGTGGTTTGAGACGCTGCGGGTGGTGACTAGACTAAAAGATTAGCCGATAAAAACTAGCTGCATTTGCTTCTTTATGCTTTCATTATTTGAGACAGGTAGGTACACTGCAATTTTAAACCTTTTACAGAACTTGTGCGTATGGGGAGAGTTTTCCGAACTCTTCGTTTTTCATAAATCAATAAAAATCACCCCAAAAAAACTGAAGGGGGCCCAAAACTTCCAGAGGGGCCCCTTCAGAAAACTTTGCACCCCCATCCAAAATTACCTTCCGCCGCCACTGAGGGGAAGGAGGGGAGGCTGGCGACCGTGACCCCTTCCCCAGGCGGCGCGGCGCGGCGGGACGCTACCCCCCCCCCCCCACACACACCAGATCGATCGGGGAGCCGGGAAACAAACAAGGCGCCAATTTGGGTCAAGTTTGGCGCCTCGAAAGTCGACTCGGAAATGCAACAAATTATTCAGGTGACGGTGTGGAAGCATTTCTTCAAGGTCGACCGGGATGAAGCGAAAATAAGCCGAGCGACGTTCGTAGCACACCTTTAGTGAGCAGGGACACACAAGCCATTCCAAATTTATAAAGGATATACAGTGGTCGAAACAACCTTTTCTGCAAACAGCATTGGGAATGGGAGCACAATGGATTAAAATCCATTTTTACGTGCATCATTATACCGGCGATACTGCTGAATTGAGGAGCATGAGTATGCAAACTTATTCATAATGAGTTGTGATGGATGACACGCTACAGAGACTCGCCGCTAGAATGACCATTATGTAAAGTTCCGTCTAATGTGTTGCATAATTATGCTCTAAGACGCCACGAAACGCTGCCCGAATGGGAGCGTATGAAACTTGTAGGCTAGGAAAGTCAACCAAAAGTGCGCTAGATTATTGAAATGAGCAGTACCGGAGAATAGCATTATTCCCACAAATCAATAAAGATTTAATACCAGCCAAAGCGGCAGAAGGAAGAACGGATCAATGCTAAACTGAGCCCAAACGGTATCGAAGTGTTGCATCGCTTTGTCCTTTGACCATTGCTTCTAGCTCTATATTGCTATTATAGTCGTACTTTTGAGTAAAACGATCGACTTAAATCCGCGCGAATACGGAAGTTATCCCATGTAAAGCAGACGTGCACTTGCTGCTCGTAATGTTTCCAATGGCTGCAACTTCACAAGACTGATGGAGGAGTCTTTATTATCGTGGGCCCAGCGCGGGTCGGTGCCTCGATGGCCGATGTAATCGCTCTAATCCATAACGAGGCGTGCCTGTTTGACATGCAACGCTGCAAGCGCTGCCGACGCCTCAGGTCGTCAGGTCTATTTTGGCACACTTTGCGAGCGAACTCACATACTGAGAAATACCTGGGTAAGCTCACATCAACTTTCGATCGATTATTCAAGAAGGTATAGAAAATTCGAAACGATTTTATTTTGCTCGCTCGTCAAATTACCTTCAATCAATCTTTTAGTGGAAAAGTACGTAAACTAAAAGTGATTTTTTACGTACTCCTGTTGACGCTCAGTTCGTTCGAATACCGCATTTTCGAATGGTGAATTTCCATCCATCCATCCCACATAGGGATTTCGTATCCTAGCGGCCGCCCGCTTTTCTTCGCTAATGAGCACCAAACACCACAAATAACGACAAAAATTATAGCCTTTCGAGGCAAATGGCCCTTTTCGCCCAATTTATCGCTCTCTTGGATCCAGAGGCGCGTGGGGTTGGTGTCAAGGAGCCTGCTGTAGCCGCCGACACACTCGAATAAGTGCTAAACGTCGCGGCGGCGGGACTGAGTCTGACACAAGCGAGAGTCGGAAGGGGCCTCCAACCTTGCTATAGAGTCCTCTAGAAGATGCAGGGATTTAGCGCCTTGCGTGATTGTACTGTGGTTTTCACCGCGCGTATGACTATTCCACGGAAGACAGTCGACGGATAAAGATTAAGGAACGATTGGGCACTCAATGTTCGAGGGATGTAAATACAAATCAATGGGTATCAATATCTAATGATTATTGGGAGTTGAAATAATTTATACTCAATGACCAATCGAGCGCACGGTTCACCTAGCCTGCTGGAAAGATGGGCTTGGTGTTCTTTAGCCTATTTGCGTGGACGGGAAGTCTCTATATGCCCCAGTCCTGTGCGTAACGCGCATTCTCCTCTCCGTCCCGAAATAATATGTGGTGCTCTTCAACTGTAGCGCAGCCGTGAGCTCAATCCATCCCATTTAAAGTGGGTCTGACAAGAATCCACGACCATTTTACTGGCGAGATGTGCAGTCGGAGAAAAGTGGCTTTGGATGAGCTTGCTGGTTAGCCCTTCACAGCTCAGTGGCACTTGACGTGAAGCGGTCTGTCGACTGATGCTTCGCTTCGTTCTTTTGCAAAGCTACTGCTGCGAAGTGAGCAGTTATTCTATTATCATTATTTTTTAAAGAATATTTACGATTTATGTAAAAAAATGTCATCACTTGAGAGCACGAATCAGTATGCTCAAGTGCTCGGCTCCATCAATCAGTCACTCATTTGTGTCCAGTTCATTTAGCATAACATTGAACACCTTACCTATTACACTTTTGATACCATAAAAAGTGATGAGCTGGAAAAACTACGTTTAGGTTTAACAATACTCAATTGGTGTCAGCCGTTTCTCTTTCACCGGCTACTCACCCAAGATGGCCACCACCTCGTCATCCTGGATGACCTCCAGCGACCCGGAGACGATGTAGCACAGCGTGTCGATGCTCTCGCCCGTGTGGAAGAGCATGTCGCCCGGAGCGCTGTGCGACATGGTGAAGTGGACGGCCAGCGCCCTCAGGCAGCCGTCAGAGGCCAGGCGGAACGCCGGGTGCTCGTTGAACACCTTACGGTTCAGGTGGACGCATATGTCTGCCCGCATGTCTTTTGGACAGTAGTTGAGAACCTGAAGAAAGGGGAAGTTAATGTTCAGCTGGCGAAGGAATTAATGCTTTGTTACGACCAAACCATGCCTAATTATCCTTCCTGGTAAAAGTTATCATTTGTCATTCAGCAATGTAGGTACAGACGTCAGAAATATGTGCTAAGCTTTTATAAAAAAAAATAATGGTTTCATAACTTGTAGAGAGCATTTAAGTCAAAGACAAAATTCTATAAAACGTAAATCGGCAATAAATATCTCTGGATAGAATGTCAGCAAATGTTCAAAAAAGATACCTCAAATGGCATTATTAACAGGCACATAGGTAGATTTACAGGTCTCAAGTTCTCAACGCATGCCACAGCTTACCAAATGAGCATCATCCGTCCATGCAGTCTCCACGACACAAACGGTGGACAAATACAAGCCAGCCTGCGTGCGCAACAAAAACGATTCAATATTTCAAGCTCAACAACAGCTCAAGCAATCAAGGCCGACACGACTTCTACATATAGTTATGCAATGCTGTTGTCATGCCAAAACGGTAAAACACAGATTATTTCTATCAGTGACCTCTTGCTGCAAGGGATTCCAAAAAAGACATTCAGGTGCGTGCCACGGTGCGTACAAATTATAAGGAGTATTTTGTAAGTTCCATGTTGCGAAATATTATAAATAGTGAAAGTGAAAGTGAAAGTGAAAATATAATCTAAAAAAAGCTCAGAAAACAAATATCAGCGATATTAAATGGAAGACTGGATAAGATTGGAAAAGCGCATTAGATTTTAGACTGAAAGCAGTTGCCAGATAAGTATGTAGGTACATAGAGTTCCTTAATTATGCCTATACATACAATTAGATACAAATTTATGTACTTGTGAGTTGAACTAATTTTTTCATTGGGTACCCCCCTGCCCGCTGCTGAGAAGTTTTTCCTTAAAGTTCCCGTACATAAGGAAGTATGTACGGGTTTGATCCGATCAAAAACATAGTGCATGTTAATTAAGTTTTCATTAGGTACGAAATGTGTTTCGACAAAATGTGCGTCCATGCGCATGCAAAACAATTAACGTGGCCATAGAAAAGCAGATTAAAGGGCGTTAGTTCGTACAATGGCCCGCAGCGACCGCGATTACCCCTCTCATCATTTCCGCAAATACTAAGAAGTTTATTTTCTTGTCAACCGGGCTACATGTCCTAGAAACTGGGCACACTTTTTGTTAAATGTTTAATGTTTATGCAATTAATGTTTTGTCAACCGTAACGTGCCCCTTTTTTCGTGAAGATCTATACGAAGAAAATTAAAGAGATCAGACGCATTTCGTTTCAACCCTCACAAATTCAACAATGCATCCCTGTAATGCATATTCAGCGGCATGATGCTTTGATCAAATATTGGACCCAAGGCCGTATGAGATTGGACCTTTGTTAAGTCTAGCTGAAACAACTACGCTTCTGCGAAGGTCTCTGATACAGAAGGCTGATGCAAATATAAGTGCAACATCTACACAGTAACCGTCCGAAAGGTCTGAGCTGCAATAGATCAAGGAAGAGAACATCCAACATGAAAGACATTGAGGTACACACAAGTGCACATATCGTTCCGCGTCGAAGCACCAGGATAGGTTAAATTCGTTTTAATAAATGCACTTGATAGTGGAAAAAATACTCTTCATTCATATGTTTGATTAAAAATAAAATGGTAAGTCGATAGATGACGGCGAACGAAAAATCGGGATCTCGTTTTTTATGATTCGGATAAAGTATATCATTTTCAACACATAATAAAACATAAATGAAGATATCAAATAATGTTCAGGAAGGCGACAGACAATATTATGAAGAGATGTTCGAGCTCTTTAATTGTCCTCTTTTTCGTCATAGAAAATGGCTTGTCAGTGTTTGATTGCGCGAAAGCCTGCCTTCAGTTTGCTTACCATTCGTTTGCACGACCATCCTTACTCGCCAAGGGCCACGGTATCGAACGCAAAGGGCAGGTGCAGAAAAGCTGGGGATAAACGGAAAATCAAGTCATAGCGCAAGCCATGTGAGAAAGGGTTGCAAAACAGTAGAAATACTGTAATCGAGAGGTAAGTCGTATCGAAATAATTTCGCTGAAGCCCGCGGGAACAGCGACAATGAGACTTCTCCGATGAGACGAGACCTCATGGTTACGTCTCTGTCGGCTCGTCCTCCGCTTTTGGAGGCGGTCGAGCGTGAGCCCCTGCCCCGGTGCCCGCCCTGAAACATGCGAGGGCGGACTCAGGGGCGCTGGCCGGCCGGCCACGGAGCGAGAGGAATAGCAGAGCAAAAAGGTCACCCGCCACCGCTGGGGAGCTTATTGCATGAGACTCAGAGGTCATGAGATGCCTCAAGAATTCATCACTCTGGGCCCTGGGGTGGCCTCGGCACTCGCCAGTCTCGCTCGGCAGCTGACACTGACCAGCACTGGGACACGCCGGCCCAGAGCGTCTCGTCCGTCGGTGTTCCCGGCTGGCCGCTTCACGTTACCCCGCCTGGTGCCGCCGCCGGAACGGAGTCATACACTCGCCTCGTTTTCTACCTTATCCGTGTCAATGCCCTTGGTCATGGCCCACGTGCTAACGACGTAGTCCATGACGCGTTCCGAGAGCGCCTTGGGCACCTCGTGCAGCTTCATAAACTCGCGCACGTTGTTGAGCATGTCGTGGTACTTGGCCGTGGCCGAGGTCATCTGCTGGATGATGGTCGTCACGTGACCGAAGATGGTAGCGTACAGCAGCGCTGCGGGACAAAACGAGAGGGGTCAGAGGTTGGCATGAGGGTAGAGCAAGAGAGGGAAAATAAGAATCGACGGAGTGCTGAGGACAGAGATACACAGATAGAGAAAGAGGGAGAAAGAAAGAGAGAAAGGCCAGTGATCAACGGAGATCGCTCATTTCTCTCTCTCTCTCTCTCTCTCTCTCTCTCTCTCTCTCTCTCTCTCTCTCTCTCTCTCTCTCTCTCTCTCTCTCTCTCTCTCTCTCTCTCTCTCTCTCTCTCTCTCTCTCTCTCTCTCTCTCTCTCTCCAAGCATCCCCGCCGGAAGCACGACTGATCGCCGCAGTATCCGCGCCGACCGGACGACGCACCCGCCCCGGCTGCTCTGCGGAAGGAGGTGCCGCCGCGCGTGCCGATCCACATGGGTCGCTCTCCGGCAGCACAATACGGCCCAGCCCGGGCCACGACCGTCCAGAGAGGATGGGGTAAAGTGGCCGACGGCGAGCGGCCGTGCGTCCCGCTCTGAGCAAACAGTCGTCACGGCCAGCCCGGTCAATAGCGGATACTGCGTCCAACGAGCCGGGCAAACAGGCACTCCCGCCCACCCATGGCGTGACGTATGGCCGATATGACGTCACACAGAGGCGGATTGACGTCGCGCACAATAGTGACGATGACTCGAATGTTCGTGATGGGTCATTTTGTTGATGACGCGTCAAGCTGGGCAAATTGGGGACAATGAAACGATTTTTTTCAGTGTAGGTATATGTACCTATTGCCTGGGGCTAGTCGTAAGAAGCGTAACGTGCGAATATCGAAACTCTTGGTCAGAGAGCATGGGCTCTTTGGGCCTTGCTTTAGGCACGGTGACTATAAACAGGTATGCTGATACACGCCCACGACATAGCCTTATACCCCTCTCCCGACTCTCGGCAAATGCTTAGTAGTGAAGATATCTCATCAATCAATCTATCTACGTAACGTTCCAAATGTACCGTTCATAACGGACGCATGGGTCTATTCTCAGTCTTCTCAAATTCCCTGCTTCGATGACCGTGAATATTGTAAAACCGGTTTGAGCCGGGGTTAGCCGGTCGGCCGAGCCTCATAAGGTTCTGGTGGGGTGAAAGGCCACTGGGCAGGGGCGGCGGCGGAGTGGGCGCACCTTCGGGGCTTCGGGGCGGTCCTGGCCGGTGCTTCGATCCGTTCGTCGGGGACGGCTCGAATCGATGGCCGCTACGACCGTGGCCGCTTTATGGGCCGCCACTGACAGAGCCAGTGGCGTGCTCTCCAAATTATCGCCGACCCCGGCCAGGTGCAGCCGCGCCCGCCGACAGCCGATCGGCCTGAATACTGCAGAGTGATGCCAACAGATTACGCCCCCGCAGGCTGCCTATCACCGACATATATACCTATCTGCGTCATATCGCCGCTCAGCAATACCCCGCCACCACATGCCTACCTACCACATATCGGTACCACAGCCGGCCTCCACCATCCTCGAACTGCAACCCATTTCCACTCCCACCAACCCCACGATTTTGCACGCCCGACCCAGCCGCCCACCACTATCGTCCATGCAGCTAATTAAGTCTTATTATCCTCCACCTAGATTGCAGCCAGGTTGACACAGTCCCCCTCCCCATCCAAGTCCACGCCGCTACGATAGCCCCGCGCGGACGGCGCAGAAGCGGTAGCGAGCGCGGAGGAAGCCCCAGTATACGATCAGTCAGCAGCGCGGTGTCAGGAGCCTCATCTGACGAAATGAGCCGGCCACTGCAGCGACGACAGCGGCCTCGGGGCTCGGCTCTTAACCAGATTGTCCTCCCTCGCCGGGATATTGCCGCCGCGTCTTCCTGCATGTGAGCCGCAGTGCGCCGAGTGTGTTTGGTCTTATTTTGCAGGTAATAAGGCGGCCGAGGAAGGCAAATAGCTCTGTGAATATTACGAAGCAGGCTATATTTCAAATTATGCGCAGATCCAATTTTAGCAAGAAATCTCGCACCATTTTTGTATTATGCAATATAACACTTTCATTCGTTGCACTTGCATCCCGCATGTTCAAACATCTCAAAGAACGCAACGTTGACTGTCTATGTAATTTACCTGAATAGTACCTAATTGACATGGTCTCACCTTCCATTTCCATTGCCAATAAGAAAGAAGGACTGTGGTGATTTCGTAGCAAAAACGAAAAGACAATTCCTCACAACTCGTAAGCTCCACGCTATCAGCAGCTTTTAATTCCGAGTTGATTTATTCCGACACTTGATCGATTCAAAAGAAACCTAATCCAACTAAAACAGGCCGACTAAAGCGATAAGAACTCTGCTCGGCGCGTGGTAGTTCTTGTTGCTTGTCGGCCGACCACACCATATGCTTCGAACACATTTAAGTGTTAAAAGACCATATCAACCGACCTTAGTTGTATGGCTGGACCAAGCACACACTGAGTCAATTCAGACAGAGCAGCCGTGTGTACGAAGTGAAGCGAATTGACTGCCTGGAGACCGGATATTGACACACTCACTGCTACATCTCTGCACCGTTGAAAAGGACAGTAAAAACCGGACGGAAACGCGAATAGCGATGTTATCATCAACAAGTTTAAAAGCTTCAACATTGAAGTTATGTCAAGCTTACAGACGATTTGGCAAAAGTCTCAAGTTGTAAGAGAAACCTTCATAAGTCAGAAACGAAGTTCATAAGGTAAGCATTTTACGGAAGATGACAACCTGTAGAGTGCAAGCACAATTAAACGTTGGCGAGAGAGATGAGGAGAGCCTGTGGATGCAGGGGGAGTTCCGTCGAGTTACGAGCTGTCTGTGCTAACGCAGAGGGACCCCTACGATGGACAGTCCTGAGACAATGAACAGGAAGACCGCTCCTCCGTTCAGTAAGCGCCGTTCGTGCTGGGATTTGATCACGACACTGGCGGGACTCACTGGCCACTCGAGGTGGCTGCAGAGACGCACAGCGGTCCGCTGAGGTACACCATCGACGGTGGGTCAGCCGACGATACGACAGCCGAATTAACCCACTATAGATTGTGCTGGAGGTCGTTTGTCCCGTCACCGCCGACATAAGTGACCCCGGGCGCACACGAGGTCGTACATAACGAGGAACACGAGATAAGCCGTGGGAGTTGGTTAACCGTAAAGCGCAAAACATTTTCATATTTATATTCATACTTGACAAGGTTTTCCACGAATTATTTCAATTGTTAAATTTTGCCGCAATGCGGATGTTCAATCTAGCGACATTGATAACACATTTCGTCAGTATTTATGAGAAAGACTCATAAAAAGCTCATAAAACGTCAGATGGTGTTGTCAGCATTCCGGTGTTAGAGCTGAGGGATGAAAGGAGATCACCATTTAATTCTTCAAACCAGTTTCAATGTGTGTTGCAACGTGAAATATATGACAGCATGATATGCACTGATGTGTGTTTGGACAGTTCTGGAACACTCCTGGCATTGCGACAATTTTCCTCCACACAAGACAAGACAATTTTCCAACTGTTTGGGTGAGGTAAATGTTCGATACCATCCCACGTACACCCCAAAAACAGCTATTCTCTTTCTCAAATCATCTCCTTCAGTCGCTGTCTGTCCGCCCACTCACCTGCAATGATCATCATACAGATGGTGAAGATCTTCTCGTTGTCCGTCTCGGCGGCCACGTTGCCGAAGCCGACGCTGGTCATACACGTCATGGTGAAGTAGAGTGACGTCACGTACATGGTCTTCCTGGAGGGACCACCGACCAGGATCGGTGACATGGTCTCGTTGGACCACAGGTACGAATAGGGCGTCTGGGTGATGTTGCCCAGTTTCCACAGCCAGCTGCGGACGGCGCAGGACGGACGGTCACACGGGGGGTCGGCAACCTCGCGGCCGAGACACGGTGAGGGATGTTTATCCATTCGCGTGCTCTGTTCTGTTTAATGTCACCTCGATATGATTTAAAAGGTGCATGCTAAACATTAAGCCAATACATAAAAGCTTGTAAACGTCTAAAGAATGAAAAAACTCATTATTTCACAAATACAGTAAAATTATTACACTTGAAACACTAAGATCGTTCTAATTCTCTTCGTAAAAATATGCGCATTGCTCAATGCAACCGTGGTGGTGGATTCCGGAGCAGCCTTCAAGGACAGCCAAAGAGATTCCCTCATTTATATGCTTGAAGAAAGTCCAAAGGAAACTTTGCTCTGTCCCAAAGATATGTGTGAATAAAACACCCGGAATGTGGCATTATTTCACCACAGCTACACATTTTGCATCTACCTCAGAGCTTTTCCAGATTCAAAATCAGAATGCAAATCAGAATGCCACTGTTGAAATCAGCCACCACTGCGCGCAAATAAACCCCACGTGCAGACAAAAAGAACATTCCACTAAGTAAACATTGTTCTACACGACCACGCGCTCCGTGGCCTAGCCTGCCCGCTATATCAGGGCGGGAGGTCTATCAAAGCAAAGGACGAGCTAGCTGACAAAGGAACCGAAGCTACCATACAGCTGCATCGCTAAGTCGCCGCGGTATCTAATTACGACACAGCTTTGGCTCATCAAACAAACAATGGTTACGGCCGAAATTTAGTATGTGGATAGTCGTGACGTGATCTAAATACACCAGAGTTACGTATGAAGGGGCAACACATGCAACAAGAACTTTAAAGAGCCAATGTGATTTGATTATCAATTAGTATCCTTTAGATAATTCTGACTTGCATATTGATACAAAATACAAACACACCATCTCATTCGCTCAGCTGACAACAAGGCAGAACCAGAAAAGTGACAGACTGTCAAGGGATTTACCAATAAAGCTGTCATGCATTGAAACCATGGAATGGCATAAGCAGCTTCGCTACACATCGGCCGTGTCGTGAGATCTACATGATATCTACACACATTCCGCGGCAGTCGGTTCACTGAGCACGACGTCGCTGCTGACCGGCGCGGCTCCGGCCTTCGATGTGGGTGTGTGTTTGTGAGTAGATGACCAACGCCGACCCGAGAGTCATCCCGTCGTCAACTCTCCCCGCCTTCATTGACCTCATCGTCGACTCTCTTAAGTCTCAACCTTCATTATCCCACCGTCGACTCTCCTCACCTGTATGTGACTCCATTATCGGCATCCGAGAGGCCGATGCTGTACCAGATGCAGGCCAGCCAGTGAGCCACTAGCATGTAGAAGCACAGCAGCAGGATGAGCATGGCGGCGCCGTACTCGAGGTAGCGGTCCAACTTGCGGACCACGCGGCCCAGCCGCAGCAGACGGACCACCTTCAGCGCGCTGAAGAGGCTGCCGATACCCTGGGGGTCATAAATGTGGGGAGAGTCATGTAAAGAGGCTGCAAATATCCTGAAGGAAGTGGAAGAACATCTGGACAGGCTGCCGATACCCTGGGGGTCATGAGGGTGGGTAGAGTCATGTAAAGAGGCTGCAAATATCCTGAAGGAAGTGGAAGAACATCTGGACAGGCTGCCGATACCCTGGGGGTCATGAGGGTGGGTAGAGTCATGTAAAGAGGCTGCTATTATCATGAGGAGAGGGAGGGGTATTTGAACAGGCTGCCGATACCCCGGGGTTCATGAGGGTGGGGACTGGGGAGAGTCATGTAAAGAGGCTGCTGAAGCTCTGAGGGAGGGGGAGGGGCTTGTGAACAGGCTGCCGATATACCCTGGGGGTCATGAGGGTGGAGAGAAGAGGGTCATGTGAAACTGCCGTTACCCGGAGGGAAGGGTAACCAAGGGAAGGGTCCTTCCCGGAGGGAAGAAGGGAAGGATATCCTTTGCAAATGGAGAGGCTTCCGATATCTAGAGGATGGGGAGGGAAGTTCACGTGAAGGACTGCTATGGGGTGTAGTGATGAGACGCAAGTATCAACACGCTGCCGATACCCTGGGGACATAAAAAGGATCAGGTCAGGTCATCAGCGTGTCAATACTGTGAAGAGAATGGCAAAGGACTGTCAAGGGTCAAGAATGGCAAAGAACTGTCGAGACCAGATTCATAGAGCGTCCAACAGACATTGTTGCAGCTCACATAAGGAGTTGCTTTATTTGACTTGAAAAGTTTAGGCACAGAAAATAGCATTCACAGATAATGAAACTCATTTCATGAAATTGTCAAAACCGGTAAGCTTATGGATGTTACCAAACAGTGGAAATACTGGCTACAACAATTGGTAAGACTGTCTAGCAGACTCCAGCCCGACCAATTCTAGACCACAGAAGCTATTACTTGTGTGTGCCATGGAATCGGCAATATCTATATCCCTCATCACGCATAAGAAACATAATGCTGCTGACGTTACAAGGAAACCAGTGCGTCACTGCCGAGGTCAAAGAACTCTGTGCTTTTTGTGTTGGTTATGTGCCTTACATGATGTGCTGTACATAAGTAATTGACCAGCATTGCGCATTGCCTGAGTGCCTATCATGTGTCTCGGACATAATTGCACCGTCAAACGACAGACTTGTTTTGTTGTCAGCCCTAGCGACAGTAGCGTTCCAGAAATAAAACAAGAGCTATATTCTTGTATGCATTTAAACGAATTTGCCTACCTACATGTAAATATGACAGGCAACTATAGGCAAGGATAGCTTACATGGGATATCCTCAAAAATGTTAGTTTCTGGTAGTTTGGAATGGGCAAATAACTACTGAACATATATTCTACCGAAAACAATTCAATAACTGACAGTTCATTTAGGCCAAGCCATCAACAAAAATCCACCTCAGCAAATTTGGTGGTCCTCTAGCCATTTGTAGATAGCTCTTCATGTCCGGTGGGTATTTTCGGTGACATTAGCCGGCTGTATATCTGTATTACCTATCAGGAGCTGTCATACTCGGAAGCCAATCGGTCAATCTATGAATAGAGCCCTTTGGTTGGGCGTCAAGAATAGGACATTGGCTGAGCTGGGTTGGCAGCTGAGTCTATCCCAGGGCGGCTGAGACCGATAAAACAGATGTAAGGTCCGCGGTGTGGCGACGTTTTGCCGAACACAGGCTGGCCAGTCGGTCACTATTTCTGGCGTCTGTGTGTGTAAATAACTATATGGGGTAGCTTATTATGGAATGGATGTCAAGCCAGACGCACCCATAGAGCTGCTACGATTTAATTTTGCCGACGATATTTTCGTACAGTCCGCCATGGAATGCAAAAAGTTGTCCCATAAAGGAATATGAGAGTCTGGCGCGTCCTGCAGTTCCAGCCCAAATCTGGCGCTGGGGGTCGCGCTAATAACGCTAATGCTGTCGCGAGCGTCCGTTATCGTTACCGTGACGCCGTTACCATTACCGTGACGGTCTTCATGACACGACACAACGGTCCCCGATTGTGTAACGAGCCACCCGACCCACCTAATGGCTCGGGGAACCTATCCAGCCCGGGTCGCCCCGCCCTCCCTTCTCGGCCGAAATCTGCAGAAAGACCGGCGGTAATATCCAGTGACGCAGCCGCGGGTGCACTTTACTGATTATTCGTCCGTGCATGCACCCTGTCCAAGGACGGTAGCGGGCGGAGCGAGCCCGAGTCCGGTCCTGGAGTGACCCTGACGGGCGTTGGCTGTCCCAGGAATGGTGACACGCTATGACAGAAGCAGAGGGTACGGACGTCAGGGTCAGCGGGTTACTGCCACGGAGCAATCACAGCCGGACAGAAAGACAGTCACTCCCATGTGGGATTAGAGAACCGACGCTGAAGCACGCAATTATAGCGACTGCAAATGTGTTCTGATCTTGATCAACGAATTAACCGAGGAGTGTTCAATGTTTGTATTTAGAACATGAATATTGAATCCAATGGCAAATCAAGCGGAGAAGAGTGGAAGAGGGTTTGAGAAATGTGCTTTAAAATAGTCGAGATTCTGCAATGAGGTGTACACAAGCACACCTTCCCAGCGATACTTAAAACCTATCGGAACAAATCAAGAACTAAAATATTGTATTAGTATCTTCCTTCTAAAAGATATCTCTCCGGCCCCCACAGGTTACACTTATGTAGCTGAGTAGGGTTCTCACAGAAAACCAAGTTAACCCACAGCTACACTAGCAAAAATGAGCCAAAATTAACTACAAAACCATCTGAGAGCCAGTGTCCTTTTACAGCCCATCCTCCTGAATATATGTCCACGATAGCGCGGTCACCGGCGCGGCGGACGACCCCGGTCACGTGTCCGTGAACGTGTAATCAGGCGCGGGTAGATATGGCCCGGCAGATGACCGCATGGCGTGACGAATGCCGGCGCAGTGGATTCATTTGGCAAAACAGATCAATACCGCCGTGTCGGCCTGACCAGACGTGATGGCCTATACGCCACAGCCTCCGTCACTCTCACTGACTGAGAAAGAGAGTGCCATTCGAGCAGCACCCGCCGACGTATCGCAAGGTTAAGCGTTCTATTATTGTATTAATTTGAAAGGTTTGCCGTATTTCTTCACATGCTAAATAAAAAAAACTGTAATTATTTATACTTTTTTGCAATTCAATTAAAAAAGCTATCATCTGGCACAACGCCACCCGACGCAGCGCAGCGGTACGCGGCGCTCGACTGGAAGGTAGACTGTACCGCAGTACTTGAGTGTCATGCGGAACAGTCGCGATCCCAGAACGTAGGTAAGCGCGCTGGAAAGCACAATACCGCCCATAATCGCATACCACATAATCGCCCATACTGCAAGTGCACAATAACTGTCGTTTTTTCGGGAGCCTCGCCTGTTCCTTTTTTGAGAATACTGAGAAAACAGCTGCCGTCAAGCAAAGCAAGCCTTGTGGACAAATTTCGATTAATCTCACGTAAATTGTCTGGCACTTATATTTGGCTTCCTCCATGATAAGTGTTTTTTTTCTGGGTCATTCTGGGTAGTTGATGGAAGGATTGTTCGGTTTACATTTTCACGCCAAACGACATTACTGGTACTCACCTGAAAGTTGTTAGCGACTAACATCAAATAGAGCTCGCCAAGATACCTCAACCGTCATGTGGGCTGTGTTAACCGACTTTTGGTATGTCTACTACGGGTCGACCAATTAACTAGATATCCTACAGGTGGAAAATAAAGGAATATACGACATTGGACCAGAAATGAAAGCATAAGAAGGTATTTCCCTACTCAAGGGTATTCAGCTACGTGCTTAGGGTCCTAAAGTACAAAAACCTGTCACTATGTGACCCCCTAACACATTTATCGCACGTATAGAGGTTTTGATAAATGTACAGCATTCGTTAAAGTTGTGCACCACCTATTCTAGTGCCGTGAGAAAAAGAAATGGAGTGAGTATATACCTTAAGATTTACTGAAGCCAATAAAATATATCATGACAAACAAATTAATAAAAACCCGTGAAAGGAGCGTGGTGTAATAAAATCATTTCATTCCCGGGCATCTACCGCGCTGACGAAGCTGATCAGCTGGAGAAGTGCTGGTGGCGCTGTCTAGAGCGTGTGTCCGACCTATCTGCCAAGGCCTCCAGCACCGCAAGGTTCCACGCCAAGGTCGGGTGTATGTCCCACGGCCAAACTTAGCCCACTGCACGTGCGCAGTGCCGCACCACCCCATGCATATGTGCCTGGCGGTCGGGCGCCGGACGGCAGCTGTGCCCCTACTGCGTGCGACTGGAGGTGTCGCTGCAGCCTACTGGCGACTGTCTGGGCGCGCGGTGCAGGGGGCAGGCGGCAGGCACTGCGGCTCCGGCCCGCCGCCGCGATACTCACATTTTCACTGCGATCCGTGACGCTGACTGCGCAGCTACTTACATCTTCGTCATGATCAAAGGCGTTGAAGACGTCGTACGGCAGGCAGGAGAGCAAGTCGATAATGAACCACGACTTGAGGTAGTTCATTCGGATGATCTTCGGGTCGCTCACCACCTCCCCGCCAGGCCCCACAAATGTCGTGTGAAAGTTCAGCACAATGTCTATAAAGAAAATAACGTCCACTATGGAATCCACCACGAGCAGGCTGACGTCCTCCGACGTCTTGTTCTTGAAGGCGACGTTGTACGGCACCATGATGGCGGTGTAGAATGTGAGGCAGAGAATCACCCAGTCCCAGATGGCTTTGAAGGCACAGTAGTGGAGGAGAATGTGGGGCGGCGTCTTGGGCGCCTCCTGACGGTACTGGGGCAGCACGTCCGAACTGAGAGACATCATCTGCGGGCAGACAGCGGCGTCAGAGGGGCGGCACGGCGTCATATGAACGGTGTTAAAGGGCGACAGGGTATTCAGTATTTACATACGTTCATCTGCGCAACAGCGACACGACAAGGACTGGGCGGTGTTCGGGGCACATGGTGTGACCTACCGATATGGGACGCTAGTCTTTTGGTGACACGCATTTTCCGCCATGGTGCCAGAGGTTATGAACAATAGACAATGCAACGGAAGGGGTTACATGCTGAGAGCTCGTGATAAAACGAAGGTTTATTTACCTTAAAGGGACTATCCCACCTTTAACATGGGGTTTGAGTTGAGATAGCCAATTGTTTGCGGCGAGGTTCAGAAACCACTATCTATCTAGGTTGCAACCCCCGCGGCCTCTTGGTGTTGAAGAAATTCGTTCCCTTCATTTGAAAATGGGCCTTGCGCAAGGCCCTATCTTCAACATGGAGCGACCGTTAGTGTGACGTCACCTCGTTTAGTCATTCTGATTTAAATGGGTTTGTTCGTTGAAAAATCGCTTAAAACTTGGTCTGAACTTTGTTGTGGTGCCTACAGAGTAAAAAGAATGAGCTTTATGACAGAAATGTGGCCTGGGGAAGGAGGTAATTTTGGGCTGTGACGTCACATATTTGAAAGTTTGTGTTTGGAATATGGGAAGCCTAAGATGTTTAATGAAAAATAAATGCCAGAACCGTGTTCCTGGTCATCCAATCTATAAAGTCGGGCACAATTTAACTGGTTTTAACAACATTTTAGAAGGTGGGATAGTTCCTTTTAAAAGATATGAACGCTCTTGTTCAAAACATTACCAAACGGTAAACATTATCTGTATGTTAGAATAACCACTTGGACAATTGAACAATGAGTGCTGAGATCGTCTGAAATGTATTAAGTCCAAATGAGAGGCGGGCAGCTTAAAGTTTTATTTGGTCGTGCGGTAGAGATGCGTGCTAGTAAGATAAGAACAATTTCTCGTGTGAATAAGATAAATGAAATTCGACAGCTACTTAGAACCAAACTCGTTCTACAGACTATAAAAATATAATTAAGGTAGGTAGGTATAAGATTATCGTGCAGAGTGGTGCAGAGCATTCATTTAAAACAACAACAACATTGGAACTTTAAATGAAGAAGCATTACAATAGTGCAAATCCCTTTTCTGTTACATTACTCAGCACTAGTTATCAACAGGGGTGATGATTAGGTATAACGCGCTACACTGATCCGGCGGCAACGGTGTTTTTAGTGTTAGTGGTGACAGCTCTCACAAACTCCCACAAGATGCAGCCTCGGATGTCCACTTTGTCCCATGTAGCATGGTCTCAGTGCCCACCGTGTCCCAGGTAATACTCTCTCAGCGCCCGGGGGTCGTGTCTCTGCGTCCACTGTATTCAATATATCACAGTCTCTGTCCACTGTGTCCTGCAGGTAGAAGAGTCACAGTGTCCACCGGTAATACGGTCTCAGTGCCCGGCGGTCGTGTCTCGCGGTATAGGTACCCGCCACCCGTATCCCAGGTAATACTGTCTCGGTGCCCGCCGGCCGTGTCTCACTGTGCCACCCGGTCGATGGACGGGTCGACCCGGCACCGACCGCTCTCTGCACAGGCTAATATGGCCCACGGGATCGGCGCCGGCACAGCAGACGGAGCCGGAGCCGACGACAGAGACGGAGACGGAGACGGAGACGGAGCCGGAGACGGAGACGGAGCCGACGACGGAGCCGGAGTAGGAGACAAAGTCGACGACGGAGCGGAGAAATGTGGCCCGGAGAGCCGGAAAAGTTATACAGGAGTCCACAGGTGCGCTGGTATGCATGCATGCGCAAAATAAGTGAATCCCTTCGTGCAAGATGCCAGTTTGACGTGCGATTTTCTGAGAATGTGACAGAGTGGCGAAGGGAAAATCTCGCTCTGAATTCCCGTGAGTAGTGGCTAAACTATGGAGGCGCGGTATTACCTGCTTGCGAATAGGAACACATCGATTATTATTTTGTAGGTGGCATGCAGAAGCTGCTTCGCCTATTCCGATCTTTAATTTGAAGAATAAGTTCACAAATCTCCGTGTCACGCGCGCCACCGCCGCGGGAGCGGCTGTGCTACAGCCGCCTCGTTTCCGTATGGCGGTGACACGGCGGCTCTTCCCTCATAGAGCCGCTGTGTCATGGAACGCGCTGCCGCGGGAAGTGACAAGCACGGCGTCCCGGGTGCCACTGGAGCGTCATTTTTGTCCCGGCTGACGCTGCGGTTTTATACTGACTTGTAAGCTTTACTTTTCATTATGTCGTGTAATGTATGCTGTCTTTATTAATGTAACTGACTAGGCCGTAATAGCCACTCAATGGTGGATAAGCCTTATAATAAATGACAATGACAATGACAATGACAAAAATCTCTCCTAGATTTGAAAACCATGCTGTCAAACTTGTGATGCTTCATCTGCAAGTAAATGATTTTACTATAATCCAAACCGGTCCACTGCCTATATCTGTGTTCCACATTCCTGAATTCGTCCCTGTAACACTTTGAACGCACCTCACAGCACGTGAGGGAGCATATTGGGCTGCAAGCTACTATCGACACGCACCTCCATATTGGCAAAGTTTGACTCGCGTTCCCCACTTGCCCCACAAACAGGCTCCCAACTTCTGACGAAAGATGAGGGGACATCGCCAATAATGAACTGCCGACAAGCGCACAAACTCGTATGAGCCAACATCTAAACTTGTCTGGTGTATTAGCATCCTGGCAGCACTGGCAAAAATGTCGGCTGCCTTATCTCGGTTAGCCTGTAGACGGTACTTAACTCCCTTGAGGCCTTCTTGTTTTATTGGGGGGGGGGTCTCCCCTAAGGTCTATATCAAACAGAGTGGCTCTTTCTTTAACCCCTATTGTTCATTCCATCCAGTGGGTGGACCCTCCCTTTGGGTTCAGCCATTTATCTCATTCAATGGGTGATCCCTCCTCTAGCGTCCATCTCATCCAGTGGGCAGTCCCTCCCTAGGGTTCATCTCATCCAGTGGTCCGTCCCTTCCCCTGGGTTATCCGTCCAAAGATCCGCCTCTCTCCTGGGTATAGACCCCACGTCCAAATACGCCTGCCCGTGGGACGCGGGGTAGGTCGGCCGGCGTGGACCGGCGTTGGTCGCTGTGTGCTGGACGCTGCTCATGGCCGTCTGTCCTCTGCAGCGACCGACGAGGCCGATCGACTAGGTCTCTTCTCAGGTGATGCCTCACTGTGGACCTCTGAGGGCTTCACACCGGTTTCCACTGGTCCAAACCGGCTACTAGGCCTCTTGCCTCAGGCGAGGAAAATACATCGCGCCAATCCTGAACCTTGCCGAGGGCCATCTACGCCTACAGGTCAGCTGTCCCTGTCCCACGTTGGCTGCCCCTGAAGGCTGTCCCTGTCACTGTCGACTAATTCTGTCCATGTCTCTGCGCTTGTCCCGGTCCCTATCGCTCGTCGCTGTTGGAGCAATACCTGCCACTGCGAGTCGAACGCAGAAAACGACGGATGGAGTAAAGGACTCGAGGCACGTGTCAGCGGTCACACGCAGTGATGAGACGGCTGGTATGTGGAATATGGCCGTGGTGGACTCCACTGGGCCCGACTTGGGCCTTTTGATGTAAGCCCATGAGATCGACGAAGGTAGAAGACTTCAACTGTACTTAAAGATATTGTTGTAATGCGATCAAAACCAGTATCAGTGCCTATTTTGTCTCAGCTATTATCGTCACTATCCTTTCGCAAACACCGAAAATATTCCGAAAATATGCCCGGTACAGGTGAGCATCATTTCAGCGACCTTCCAGATCGACCACACCTTAGCTGATAGCGACCTCACGGGGAACATCACCTCAAAACGACTCTCCAGGAGCCTACTTTGGTCTTGTTGACCCGAGAGTAGCCGTGACCTCGTGTTTGGTCCCCGGCGCCCACTTCATGTGGCTCTCAAAGCCTGCTTAGAATATCGAGCACACTGATCAGAGGCTTCGTCCGCATTTTTGGTGCCGTTTCGCTCAACTGACTGCCGGGAATGTGCAGTCATCGAGCATCCTTTCATTATGTATGGGCGCTACATTTGGGAGGATTGAGGGTAAACGAGCGATAACGATATAATAGAAAACATACGCAGAAATACTGGGCATCATTGAGGTTGCATCTTACTATTCCTGGAGAAGTCCATTGAAAGTAATTAAACTTGAATTTTAGACTCATAAAAGCTAACAAGTAGAATCGGATCCATTCTGTTTACTGTGACATCCTAGGACAAATTAAAACATCACACTGCTCTCGCTATCTTTAAACAGCAACATTTCCGTTAAAACAGTACCGCCGCACGCAACCATTGGCCCTGACCTCCCTGGCAGCTTCATATTTCAGTGTACTGCGTCACGCGGCTGCGGTGGCACTTGGGAGGCCAAATCAGGCCCGGGGCAGATTTACGCGGCCCTAACTCGCGCCGGCTCGGCTCTCTCCGGGCGAGTGTCGGTCGCCGTTTGACCGTCGGCCGACACCGCCCCACTGTCGGCGGCCCACGCGCCCGAGCCGAGTCACTGGAGCCAGTCGAGCCGACATTAACATTTCACAGAGAAATCGGCCTCCGCCAATCCGGATCAATCAGACGCCGTGTAGACCACGACACGAGAAATTTGTCCGTGAAATTTTCAGGGCTTCTTCTGGAAACGAAGATACCCGCAATGTGCGAAGAAGTCTATTGAATCTGACTTAAATGGAAACAAAGGAAAGCATTGGAACTTTCCATATGTAAGGATGACTATGGACAAAGTTGGAAGCAACTGAATCGAATGTTGAGCTGGGTACTGAATATACTGAACATTAGGTGGGCAATGGGCATGCTGTACGAAAACAGCAATACAACCCTTTGAATGTTGATCAGCCGACACACTCTGGAATAATTTCACACGCGTATGTAATTAATTATTGAATATTCAAAGATTAATAACACAGTGGAGATGAACATTGTACATGTCACGAAATTAACGTAATTCGCATCAAACACATATCTACAAAATTGTTGCAATTAGACTGCCAGGTAATAAAAAGCAGCAAGTGCATCATTTTATCATCTTCGGTCTTAAAGTGGCTATGATCCGGGTATACGATAATGAGGTCTTATTCAGACATCTTGAACCCATCATCCGACCGTGCCCACACCGGGTTTACGGCTATACCGAATGTTCGAGGTAACACACATATGTCGATAACGGCACGAATTAATACGTGTATAGCTTCTTATGGGGCCAAACGACAGACCGAAGACATTCTGCAGCCGCCACCCCTTGGCCTCAGAGAACATGTGTAGATACGAGCGCCTTATCCACTTAGCTGGAGGAAGATCGTAGGTACTCATTGTCTCACATACAGTTAGACTGGCGCCGATGCAAAATGAAAGAGATATATTACAATACGTGAGCATGCAATAAACGACATAGAGATAGAACAGCTGTAATAAGAAGACATATGTCTAAAAATTAATTATAGCGGTTTATAAAGCTAAACGTGCATTGATTAGCTGAATGCACAGGATGCAAAAAAGAATGCTATGGCTAAGATGGGAAAATCCGTGAGTGCAGTGCAACGAGGGCAAAAAGTGACTTTGGGGCCTCATTTCCATGTCAGTATTTATTCCCCTAACAGACTAATGTAAAAAAGCACACATGCGCCTCAATTTTCTTTGCAAACACCACTGGCTAACACCATTGTGGTAAACAAGTGCTAGCATCGTTTTAGGAACTTACGAGTAATAGGAATGAAACTGAAATAGCTGTACAGTGTACACACTAGAGAAACTTGTTTTAACACTAACAGTTTGCTCTGTTTATCACCGACACGATCACTTTTGCACTGACAATAAACTGGAACTTTGAACTACAAGGATTAATGAACGGAGCTAATGACAGGGTTGACAATAAAACACGATACAGAAGTGGCAAGGATTAAAAAAAGAGACGCAAAACTGCAATAAGAAAAATGTTGTAGCCCTGTCAATAAATGGGTGCTGCCTATAACGAACGTACTAACAAATGTCGCAGTATGTCGCCACTTAAATAACAATTTATATATCCACCATGCTGTTCTAGGCATTCCAATTATAAATTTACCATGCAGACACTTGACAAAGCAAATCTAACCCACTACGGCTATTAAAGATATATCTGAATAGTCAGTGGTAATACCTACTTGATACTGGCGGCAGCAATCAGGAAAACATTGAGTAAAGACACACAACACTCAATTCGCTTGAGTACACTCTATGTCTATGTAATACGTCCAAAGGGTCCACAGATGCATCTATCACATTGCGTAGCTATTGGTTTGGAACATATATCTATATGAGGTCTTGGAACAGATATCTATTTCGTACACATTCTCCACAACGTATGCCTTTTGGCTTTTTGAGCACAGAATTATTTGCTCCCCGAAGATACAGAGCATAAAACTACAATGAAAGTCAGCGAAATACAAATCAGTCTTGGGTCATTGGAAGTTATTTAAAGTATAAACTAAATTTTACTAAAAAATGTTTAAAAAAATTTGAATCCCATTATTTTTATCAGTGCATGTGTGCTAAAAAGGCGCACTCTGGCACTCTGGTTGATGATGCACGAAACCAGCGAATGTGTAAAAAGCACGTTATTGCAAACTGATGTTGGAAGGCCAAGCAAAACGGAAGCACACACGAAAAAAATATTGCTTTGAAGGGAAAACAATTTGTATGATTAATTTTAGGCGCATATGAGTCATACTGTTGAGTGAAAAGGTTGCAAAGAAATGAATGCACATTGAAGTAACAGGGAAGATAAGGTTAAGCACACACAGGGGAGGGGCCTCACAACTAACATCCGCGAGACAAGGAGGGGTGAAAGACCAGTTAGGTCATGTGACAACAAACATTGCGTTACCACTACTAGGGAACATATAGCTACTCCGAAGACAGCTAACAACATCGTTCTTACCTACAATCAGTCCCTCTGGCAATTCAAACAAACATACGCAATCCATTCTGGATCTACCTATCTTTCAATCTCCATTTCGAAAATTCAGCCAGATCCCGTAGAGCGTGGTTCACCTATGATGGAGATAGGACACAAAGAAATAACTCGACTTACATGAGCGATGTTGGACTGTTTGCCATTCTCCTTGACGCCGGACACGTTGGAGGCGAACTGGGAGGCCAGCACGGTCCGGGACCGAGTCACCGAGCGGGCCAGCTTGGCGAACTTGGACAGACTCGCTGGAAACCGACAAACAAACGACATAAATATATAGCACAGTGCACTGAGCAAACAGCTAAGGGTTTCACAGACAGGCTACTGGTTATGGTTATATAAAGATCGTTACGAACTACTCGGTACCTTCAGCTGAGCCTCCTGATTATGAGGAACATACACGGATGTCGTATCGTTTTCAATAACTTCCTTCCGTTCATAAATTTCGTAATGGGCGAGGCAGCAGTATGATGCCACTGATGCCTTCCTTACATACATATGTACTGACCTTACATATGTACTGACTGACTGATAATTGACTGATGCCCAGGCTGCGTGACGGCATTCGCGTGTATATCATTTTTCTCAACACCCGGACCCACCTCTGTTGTCATCTGCCTCGATGGGCTGTTTGAGAGCGGTTATGTCTCTCAGCGTCAGAAGGAACAGAACCACCACCTCCTTTTCGTTCTTGATGGGCGCTAAATGCAGCAGCAGCCATAGTGGAGTACCTGCCGGAGAGCGCAGCTTGTGGGCTACAGGAGAGCGCACCTCGTGGCTCGTGAGCTACAGGAGAACGCAACTCGTGAGCTACAGGAGAGCGTACTTTTGAGGCGGCGATACCGTGACGCCGCAGGCGAAATGGGTTAGTGAAAAAGGGTGACACAGCCAACATTTTAAGGCACAGAAAGAAAAGACAAACTTCAATCTTGCGCTTAGAGCTGAGTAGCAAGAAAACAATTGTAAAGAAACCATTTAAGACCTCAGGACATTTTAGAAACACCTCTCAATTTACTTTTGGTTGATGCTAGCAAGAAGCATCAATTTGCGTAAAACGCAAGGCTCCATCAACACAACCAATGTTAAAAAAGAGCGCCTTGATCTGGATCTATCTGAAATAAGTCGTTCATAATAGAGCACTTACTGATAGTACACTATTCCGTGGACAACGCTTAATCCGTTGCTATGACAATATCTGACAATAAAAAGCTAAGCAGGGCACAAGGTTAGGCTTTCTTAGCATTGATAGAGAAGAGGAGAGTCATACTTTGGAAGTATGATTTCAACTTACCTTACTGGCCGACACTCATACATTTATGCGTTGGATGCCATCAAAAAGGAAATCAAGACATTGGTAGCAAACTAATCAATGAACGACTGACCAGAGTGCGCGAATCGAAAGACCTTGTCAGGTGGAATGGATATACCATTCATCACATTTCACAGCGAAGACCGAAAATCTACATCGTGCCACGCTTGTATTATCGTTTCGTTTTCATTCGCAAAGACTCATGCAATAAGCGTGTCTGACATACTGCCGCATCTGCATGGATAGGTGTACTCATGCAGTGTAAATACTCACGGTTTTTCTTGTAGAGCAAGATCTCGAACTGGTCCTGGTTCTGGTCCTCGAGGCTCTCCTCGAACCGTGCGATCGTGTCCTTGTCGGTCAGGTCGCCGTACATGAAGCTGCATCTGCACGATTTCTGCATCACCTGCCGACGACAGAAAGAGGCAGTTGGTGTCAACAATCAGCACTACAGAGCGCGCCGGAGGACACGACACACAAGCTTTTGAAAGGACGCATCAGTTGACGAAAGGCTAGTTCGCAGAACATAATTGATATGTGTGGCTCGACATAAATACGGAGCAGAATGATTCCCGCTCTAAGTCGCATACGTAATACAGATGACAAAAAGTGGTCTCGACGTGACCAAAATAGCCAGAATCAGGAGCGTATCGGTGTGTGTCCCGCTCCTCCCTCCCTCTTAAACTCTGTCTTTCCCACCCATTGCTCCTCTTCCCCTCTATCTCTCTCTCTCTCTCTCTCTCTCTCTTTCTTTTTCGTTTCTTCTTTCTCATTATTTTTCTCTCCCCTATCATCTCCTCCTTCCATCCACTCTCTTTCTATCTCGCCCTTTTCCAACCTTTCCCTCTCTCCTCTCTCTCTCTCTCTCTCTCTCTCTCTCTCTCTCTCTCTCTCTCTCTCTCTCTCTCTCTCTCTCTCTCTCCCACTCTGAATTAAATATAACTTTGTATCCCCCTTGGCCCAGTGTCCGGCGTCAGTCAGGGTCAGCCATATTACTGGTTTACGGGCAGCCAATGTAGTTGGTCTTCGGGCCGTCGGGTGCCAAAGGGACTGTGGACGGTGGTCGCTAGACGACCAATGGTCCGGAAAGTGAGTCAGCTTAAAATAGAGCACCAAATGGGGCGTCCGTAGACCGACAGAGGGTCGCGGTAAACAGTGGTTTACAAATAGGATGTCCGCCATTTATGATAGCGACATCACGTTCGCTATAGACAAATTATGCGACTAAAACTGAGAATGGGTGTTTATTGTTTAGCTATCATAGTGTGTTGTTTATAAAAAGAAACATGCATATACATAAATGAATCTTCGCAGTCAATAGCACTGTTACGGAAAAATACGGCAAGACATCTAAGATGACATATGTGCTGAAAAGTCCGTCGACGCAGTTATGCTTAGAATAGCGAAACACTTCCGAGCATACCAATCATCATTCTTGAGATATCTACCTTCCACTGAACCTAATCGCATGCCATCCATTTCTCACCAAGCCAAGCAATCACTCTGACGGGGGTTAGCGGTCCGCTGAGCGAGATAGACCGCCCCTCGGCCATCAGGGAAGGCTGTCACGCGGAGGTGGCTGGGGCGGCCCTTAGGGAGCGTCACGTCACACACCGTGACGGGACCGGGTGGCAGCCACTCTCAGGGGAGTGTCACACACGGCGTGACGGGAGAGCTCGACAGTGGCAGTAAGAGGAGACTGACACCGTGACGGTTTCTCCTAAGGACGGCGGCCGAAAGGAAAATCCGCCACACAGCAAGGTGGGACAGTCCAGCGGTCACTGTCTCCCAGAGGGCGAGCCTAATGAGCGCTTTAGTGACGCCGGGACGACGGCCGCCCACGCACAACGCTGACGCAACCATAGGACTTACTTCCTCGGTGATGTAACTTGCCTCTGGTGATTCGACTAACGAGCTATTAGATTTTCAAAAGTTTAAAAACCTGATGAAAATAAGGATTGAAGTAAGGTTGCGTCGCTTTTTAATCATAATCGGCACAAATACCACATCACCGCATAGGACACACATTTCATATCTGTCATATCACGGATCTTCAAAAGTCGAAGCACCACGTCCGCTCGGGCCCTTCCCGTTTATCCGTCATCGCCGAATTAACTTCGCCGCTGTAGAGTGACCAATGGGAAACGTCTGTCAAACACCATATCTTCACCAACTGACAGCTTTATGGGCAGCGCACTGGCCGAATCCGACATCAGATGAACCCCACGCCATCCAGCGACGACGCAGTAGTGCGATCTTATCGACCGTGGGAGTTTGTCGCTCTTCACAATTAGGAATATATATGACGGAAAACAACAAAATCGATAACAGTCTCCATATGACCGTTCCTTGTGTAGGTATTGGACGAAATCGTTACTACCATGCGAGCTGCGATTTGGAGGTCCCATTATGGCAATTTGTATTGTGGTCGGAGTACGTCGGAGAAATAATAAACCAATGTGCTTTACGAGAAAAAACACTTTTAAATGGCCTCCTTACAATGAAATACCGAAAGATGAAATAATGAAATAATTATTGATGATTTCGACCACAGGTCATTATCAAAATAAGCCAGACAGAACTTTTGTCAGACACAATGGGAAGCTCACAATATCGGCAGAAAAATTCACATTTTCAAACATTTCACGTGAACACATTGCATGTAGAGCTCACCTAAAATGCTGCTACAACTAACGAATGAAGTATATGTTATTAGGTTAAGTCCTATAGCCAAGACAAAGTTTAAGAATGTTCCCTATAATATCCCCCCCACACACACACACACACCCCAGAATAAATGACAACAGTGATCCCACAATCATTTCTAGATACGTTTACAACAAGTATCAGTAGGTAGATGTGCCACATACTCGATATGCACGTCTATGAATAGGCACCTAAGCGATGACATGTAGGTACTTGACACAGTCTAAAATATGAACCAGGAAGAGACATTTCTATTTAGGATTGGTTTTCGCTCGCGAATGTACAGGGATTCCATTATCTTTCGATTCGGGTGATCTTTGGCTTTGTGTAAGATTTCCACTGACAAAGGGTGGTCAGGTAAGGTCTCACCAGCATGACATGCTCTAAAATGTTCACCCAAGGGGGTGTCCCTAGTCGCGTTCTTTGCATTGAGCACATGCTCATTGAAACGTAATCTTACTGGACGCTTACACTCCCCTATGTACTGTACACGCTCATCAGTTGAAGTTGAAGTGCATAGGTTGCAAGTGACGCAGTAAACCACCCCTGGTGTGGTACACTTGCCCTCGATTCCTGAACTGCATGCATTGCATCTACGCCTGCCAGACGGGCACTCAGGACGCGTCAGGTCAGATTTGATCAGAGTATGTCTTAGGGTGTTTTTACTAGTCCATGCCACTTTTACGTTGAGTTTCGATTGTCTGGCTATGTTATTTATCTTTGCACAGAGGGTCTCGTCGATTTAAGGTAAGGAAAGGTAACCATCAACGTCACTTCGATTTTGTCGCTGCCCCTGCTGCTGCTGCTGCTGGTGGTGGTGGTGGTGGTGCTGCTGCTGCTGTTGCTGTTGCTGCTGCTGCTCAGGCGGTGGTGGCGGCGGAAGCGGTGGAGACGGCTCCTGTGCCTGCTGCTGTAGCCGAGGACCTGGCTGCGCCGGTGACTGCTGCTGCTGCCGTGGCTGCTGCTGCTCCTGTGGTCGCCGCTGATCCTGTTGGGGCCGAGCGCGTCCAGAATTGCGCTGTTGTCGCATTATTTTAGTCCGTTGTCTTGACACTTCCCTTCTAATGCCTCTGATCATCTGGTTGGGATACCCATTCTGCTCGAACATTTTCTGAACTTTGTCACATGACCTTGACATTGCCTCTTCGGTTGATGAAAGCCTTAGCGCTCGTTTAAACTCGCTTCTAATGACAGCCTTCTTCGTTGTCATCGGCTGTGCCGATGAGTAATGAATGATGATTCCAGAGTGGCTGGGCTTGATGAAAAGCTCTGTCGACAGTTGTCCGTCCTTGTCAACCGATATGAGGGTATCCAGATACGGAATGAAACCGGAATCGAAAGAGTCCTCCATCGTGAACTTGATACACGGATGGACGGAGTTCATGTAGTCGAGGAAGGCTCGCAGCTCTTGATGAGAATGAGTCCACACCCCGATAGTGTCATCTATGTACCTTGCATACAAGTCCGGTTTAAGTGTCGCGTTTCGGAGGGCAGACTGTTCTAGCTTGTGCATGAAGATGATCGCTACTGGTGGTGCTACTTTGCAGCCCATTGCCCATTACTTTGCAGGGGCAGCGACAAACTCGAAGTGACGTTGATGGTTACCTTTCCTTACCTTATGTCGACGAGACCCTCTGTGCAAAGATAAATAACATAGCCAGACAATCGAAACTCAACGTAAAAGTGGCATGGACTAGTAAAAACACCCTAAGACATACTCTGATCAAATCTGACCTGACGCGTCCTGAGTGCCCGTCTGGCAGGCGTAGATGCAATGCATGCAGTTCAGGAATCGAGGGCAAGTGTACCACACCAGGGGTGGTTTACTGCGTCACTTGCAACCTATGCACTTCAACTTCAACTGATGAGCGTGTACAGTACATAGGGGAGTGTAAGCGTCCAGTAAGATTACGTTTCAATGAGCATGTGCTCAATGCAAAGAACGCGACTAGGGACACCCCCTTGGGTGAACATTTTAGAGCATGTCATGCTGGTGAGACCTTACCTGACCACCCTTTGTCAGTGGAAATCTTACACAAAGCCAAAGATCACCCGAATCGAAAGATAATGGAATCCCTGTACATTCGCGAGCGAAAACCAATCCTAAATAGAAATGTCTCTTCCTGGTTCATATTTTAGACTGTGTCAAGTACCTACATGTCATCGCTTAGGTGCCTATTCATAGACGTGCATATCGAGTATGTGGCACATCTACCTACTGATACTTGTTGTAAACGTATCTAGAAATGATTGTGGGATCACTGTTGTCATTTATTCTGGGGTGTGTGTGTGGGGGGGGATATTATAGGGAACATTCTTAAACTTTGTCTTGGCTATAGGACTTAACCTAATAACATATACTTCATTCGTTAGTTGTAGCAGCATTTTAGGTGAGCTCTACATGCAATGTGTTCACGTGAAATGTTTGAAAATGTGAATTTTTCTGCCGATATTGTGAGCTTCCCATTGTGTCTGACAAAAGTTCTGTCTGGCTTATTTTGATAATGACCTGTGGTCGAAATCATCAATAATTATTTCATTATTTCATCTTTCGGTATTTCATTGTAAGGAGGCCATTTAAAAGTGTTTTTTCTCATAGAACTTATACCTATGCCTTACATACAGCAAGTGCTTCAACAAGTAAATGTGCTTTACGGTTGCATCTTGGCGATAGATTTGTCGATAGTTGTTCGACCTCGA